TCCCCCCACTTTGACCCCTCGCTGTGCGAAAAGTAATTAACGTATTCCGATTTTTTCTTCACAGTTTAAAAGTACTCTTAGGGGACTATAAACCCCAGAAGTTTCGTTTCAAGAGACTTAAAAATTAACTGCCGCTCAACGCTCTGAAAACTGAAAACTCCTCAGGCTGGCTGAAATACATACATACATACACACATACACACATACATACACCCTTACATACATAGGTCACACTTTTTTCACTCACAGTCATATCATATCCAAAGAAAACCAACCCATCTGCCACTTTTGCAATTCATCACCTCTAACCATCAAACACATACTTATGGACTGCTCTTCCCTCTGATATCTCCAATCACAGATCTACTCCCCTACAATCAACAGAAATACAAACCCTCTTATATGCGATGAACCCAATATTACCACCAAAATTCTAAAACTCTTCACCTCTCTTAATTTAAAAATCTAAATTTTCGTTTATACTCTCATTTTTAAAATTATCTGTAAAGACGTTAATAGCCTGAGACGCTGAATGTCTTAAAATTATAATAACTAACTAACTATATGACAGAAAATGAATGACATATATATTCGTGATCTACGACTCGAGATCGGTGCTCTTTACACGGTCCCAGGTCTAGGTCCCACCATGAGGGAGAACGTAATAGTGTATCTTTCCTTCGGAAAATACACTAAAAAATACACTAAAAGTAGAGTTGAATGAGCAGATTTCGAACCTTAATCTTGGACTAAAATTATGGGTACTATTTCTCCTTTAATTACCTCCCAGGAGGAGCAAATTTGTTAAACCACTGTGCCTGTATTGGGTCCTTAACTTCTGCATAATTTATTAATCCGCTTGTTTTCTCTTGCCCTTCAGGTTGTGACCGGAGGTTCTTATGATGTAGATGTAACAATAGAAGCTCCTACTAAAGATGTGATATACCGCCAAGTTAAGGCCCAGTATGATAGTCATAAATTTACTGCTCCTATGAGTGGAACTTACACAGTATGCTTTAGTAATGAATTTTCAACATTTTCTCACAAGCTGGTCTACATGGACTTCCAAGTAGGCGAAGAACAGCCTTTGCCAGGTGCTGATCATGTCACGGTCATGACGCAGGTCAGTACAAGTTTTATCACAATTTTAAGATTCAAATGTAGGTGAAACGTAAATAGTCACCTTCCAGTCAAAGTATTACAAGCGCTATTTGTGCCTAAGTACTGTGATGTCTCAAGTCTGTCCAATGGTTTTACAGCCAAACGAATGATCAGAATCACTTGAAAATTTCACCTTATATTTCTTTTATAATTAAGGTTGATCCTTGAAATTTCAATCATGGAGTGAGCTATGAGCAGGGGTTGGGCCCCTTGTATATCAACTGAGGCAGCCCTCGCGGGGTTGGGCTTCTTGGACGTCAGGTGGGGCAGCTCTTGGGGGGTTGCTTGGATGCCAGGTGTTGCAGCCCATGGGGGGTTGGGCTCCCTGGATGCCTAGGGAGGCAGCCCCTGGGGGTTGGGCTTCTTGGAATCCGAGGGGGGTAGCCCCTTGGGGGTTGGGCTTCTTGGATGTCAGGTGGGGCAGCCCCGGAGGTTTTGTTCCCTAAAAAACGTGAATCACATCGTTAAAATTCGTATCTTGTTGCCAGGGTCAATGATTTACCTTCAATTTTCCGGGTATGCAAAATGACTGTCGTCACGCACGAATAGTGGTATCAGCATTTCACATTAAGATTACATTGTGGGTTGAAGGTGCTCTTCTGTATCGTATCTGAGTGGCCCTATACAATGATGTTGACCCGAAATGTTCAGAATTTTGGTGTCTTCTATTGAGCTGTTATTTTGAAAAATGCCCACAGAACATTAAATTAACTGTTGATCGAGTCTGTCTCAATTGATTCACAGCGATCGATTCACGATTTTGTTTTTTGATCGATACATGTCAATGTCCATCGAATTGACACCGGTTTTTTAATACTTTCTCGATCAATTCATGTCGATCAAATTCATACCCTCAGCTTTTTATTACATTTTTTTACAATAATAAATTTGATCGGTTACAGCTGGAGTTTGTCACATCAGAGATCCACAAATCCCTCACCTCAATTATAGATTATCAAACTCACCACCGTCTGCGAGAAGCCCAAGGCAAGAAGCGAGCGGACGATCTAAACAAGCGGGTCTTCTATTGGTCGCTTCTGGAATTCACCGCCATCCTCCTGATAAGTCTTGGTCAAGTTTTCATCTTGAAGAATTTCTTCACCGACAAAAACTCGGCAGGAGTAAGTTTGAAATAAGTTCCAAGGCGGCCAGTCTTGAATCAAAGCCTCTCTGTTATTTTCTTTGCTTGTTTTTGTTTTCCTTTATGATGAATTTGTCTGGTGGGTACTTAATAGTTCCTCGCTGTTTTTGTACTTAGATGAGTTCATGAATAATTGAACTAGAAAAAAATGTGTCCTTTCACCTTTTGTGTCATCCCAGATTGCTCGTCTTATTCTGCTGTGCTAAGGAAGAATGCCGTAGAAACTATCAGACGTTGCAAAATTTCCTCCATTAAAATACAAATTTTCAGGGAAATCTATGCATACGTATAATTCCTGAAAATTTTCTGAAAATTTTATTCGCGATCAGATATAAACATCTGAAAATTCCAAGAGAAAATATTTATAACTTTCCTGAAAAATAAACATTTAACTGGATGAAATTTGGCAACTCTTGAATGTACATACGGCGTTTTTCCGTAGCATGGCAGCATTGATGTCTGAAACCATCTACCGATGGTGATTTTGCGGAAATAGACATCTTCAGTGTCTTAAAATCTCCATTCCTTTTATATTTTTTATAAGATGAACCAACCTACACCATGGATTGAAATTTCAGCTGAATGTTCTTCACGTTGGAGGAAAAATCAGCGAGGTTTTCGAGAAATGACTGCTAGTTGTTTCCCATATGTAGAAAATAAAGTATGACAGGAAGTCTGAAATGCTGTAACCGGAAGTACGCATATCTGCATTTTCATTATCGATATCTCCATTTGCGATTTTGCAAATTTTCCGCCATGCTTTATTTTTTAATTTGAAGACAAGCTACTTTATCATCTTGAACATTCCTATACATTTTTTTCTGCTTGAAGAACATGCTTGCCATCAATATTTTACTTTATTGGAAAATGACCCATCATTGATATTACATGATCTCGTGTTGCCTAATTTTCATTTGCCCTTTTAAAAAGGCAGCCATGAAAATTTCAAGCATGATTATCAAGTAAAATTTTCATGATAAATTTGAAACCAAGCAGAGATTTTAAGAATTTGAAATCAAGACGCGTGTTTTTCTAGTTCCTCTTTTGAGCAAAAAGTTAGAATGCCTAAGTATTGATTTCATTAAATTTCGGTTTTAAACATACTTCTGACCTCCTCAAGATCATTAAATGTCTGAATCTCAAATTTCTGGGAGCCCCTATCAGGCAAGACTTTTTCTGTGAGAGGTGAAAAAGGTATTGGGAAAAAAGAAACGAGAAAAAAATGTTCTCCCTGCTGTTTTCCATTAAATGATGACGCTTTTATCCAGAGCCTTTAAAATTATGTTGTTAGACAGTGTCATGGGAATAGGTTTCCATGAGCCCTTCACTTGTGTTAGGTGTCCAACTGTCCATGTCATCCAGGGAGGTTTTTTCAAATTCTTTGAAGCCCCTCTTTATTTCCTGTAGAATGTTTTGGTGTTCCAAGAAAATTATTATATCCTCTTAAATTATCTGTTTCTAAGAAAAAAATTTCTTTTTAATATTCCCGAATACCTGAAAAAAGGTGTGTGCCTTCCTTTTTCTTTCTCCGGTGATACGTGATACGTGGTCATGATTTCTTAAAATGTCCATACTTGAAAATTTTCTAGAATTTGAAATCCCCAAATAACCTTGAATTCTGAACATGTTTCTTTGAAACGCCAAAATACTCTAGGAAATCCTTGAATTTTGCATCATCTAATTACTCTGTTAACGACCATAGACAACGATAGTGTAGGTTGTTTTCCTTTCTTTTTCCACGTGGAATTCTCAATTGTCAATTACAGCATCGCCCATACCTCATACTTTTGCCTGTTTATTTATTTGTAAATGCGTAACTGAGGATGAGGGCACAGGAAGAGAAAACTAGAGGAAAAAGGCTCCACTAGACCTTAACGTACACATGTTAAAGGAGAGCATTGAGAGGAAGCATCAACATATTGACTACCGCATGCTAGCTGTCTTTTTTTCTCTAAGTTTTTTCCTGGTTTTTGCACGTCCCATGAATAAAATATTCCTTGCATTGTTATAAATCTTTTTAGGAGACTCAATGTTGTATTTCAAGTTGCATGTCCGGTGATTTTTCTAACCATTAATAATACTGTGTGGTGATAGCTTTGTTCAAATACTGAGGTATAATCTAACAAAATAGAAGTTAATAATCAAATGTATAAGGCTGGACATTTTTTTGAAACATCATGTTTATAAAGCTTTTTGTCTAATCCTGAGAAAGTTTCAATGTATCATCTCTCATTGCCTAAATTTATCTTAAAAAGGAATTTAGGTAATACTAATAAATTCAGGAATGCGGGTGGGCAAATATTCGACCCTCTCTTGCCATCAGCAAGCAACCTCTTACTTGAAGAGAATATATCGATTTTACCTGCAAATTTTGTTTGCTGCTCTTGTCTATCGTGTTTTTAGTGTAACAAGGGACCGTTCTTAAAATAAGTAAATTCAGGGTGTCTAGTATTAGAATTTTCCCGATTTTCCCGATTCTATCAGGATTTGAGGAAAAATCGATCATAAAATCAGGATTCGAGAAAGGTCGGTCATTCGATCTGATTTTTTTTTTTTTTATCGAGCTATTAATTCTAGAGTTCTGCTTTCGAACACGCTGTTGCAGAAATTTTAATGTTTCCCCGCAAAAAAAACCAGGATTTCATCAGGGTTTCTCAAAATGAAAAAAATTAGACACCCTGATATCAGGGTGCCTGCAAGTCCGAAATTTCCGGAAGGTCCGAAAATAGTACTGCTTTTTCAAGGGCGGTCTGGAAGTACTGAAAAAAAGCAGAAATTTAGCAACAAAGTCCGGAGTTTTTTTTTTTCATTTTTTGTCGCAATTTGAGCGGGAAATTCAAATTTTTGAAAATTTTCGAATTTCGTCCGTTGGAGGTACTGGAAAAGTACTGAATTTTTCTGTCGAGGAGGTACTGAATTTCTTGTGAATGTACTGAAAAAGTGCTGTAAAAGCACTGATTTTCGGCCAGCCTGTTTTAGTAGACACCCTGGATATGCTAAATTTCGGATTTTCCGACCCCTTCTCCAGCCCTTGTAACGCTCTTGTGACGTAGGGCCCTAAAATTTCGCACGTAGAGCTAAAATGGCGTAGCGCTCTCCTTGGCCCCGCCCTCCCCCTAAAGCATTACTTATTTTACGAACGGCCCCTGTGTGAATTTTTGAACCTGATTCTATTTTTGAACTTTCTAAATTTGGTTTCACAAGTCGTTTATTTACCGGTGTTAACTAATTTTGAATGTATTCGGGTTTAATATGGACATGATTTTGTATGAGGGGTTCCAAAAATTAAGTTTCGCTTTTGCTCCTTTTCCTAATTGTAAGAGAGTTAACCAATTTCTATACTGTGTTTTAGCTGTCACATTACGTCGCATCACTGACTCAAGGGCGTATCTCGATTCCCGCATGAGCCTCAGAAAGCGTATATATAAAACAGGGCTCACGTAAAAATTGAGATACGTCCTTACGCCAGAGGAGCGACGATTTTCACCCTTCGAAGAAAATACTGATTCTAAGAACTGAGCTTAGAGTTTTCAACCTGTGTCTTTTTTATGAATACCATTAATGCTGACCCGTTTTTTTAATTGGTTGCACGAAATGTTATTGTCTCTTTACTTTTTGAAGAACCCTCGCATCCATGGGGGTCAATTTAAAATGATAAGATTAAGAGGTTAGCTTTATGTTCGAACTATCTGTAGGTGTTACGGTAATAATTTTTTGTATCTGTACCTAACAGTTGAAAGGCCAAGCAGATAGATGGATCTGATACTTCTAGAACATTAGAAAGACGGCTCGCTGCTTCTAAGTAAAAAATTTTAACTGCCTCCCTTTCATTACCTAGCCGCGTCTTGTAACTTTCCTAATGTTGGAAGTCTGTGTTCTTCAAATCCGACTTTAACAACAGGGGTGCAGCCTGCAGAAACTTCCCGATTACGTAATCATGATCGCAAGGTTGCTCGCGTGAAAAAATGGGAAGGCTGTTCAAATTTGGAAGGCCAGCGCATAGTAGCGGCAAAATCGCGCGAAAAAAGTCACGTTAAAATTTGCGTGATTTTAAAAAAAATCGTGGTGAAATTCGCGGCAATTTGTGAATAAAGAGCATAAAAAGGTTCTTAGCTTCGAAAATTTAGGGGAAAAAGAGGTTTTTAAACTAGAAGACCAGTTCAAAAAATGGGAAGGCTAAAAGCTCTGCAACCCTGATTTAAGTTACCTTCGGTTTGACGTACTATCTTCAGATCCACCTCCCGGACCAGATTCGGGCCGATTGTTGTAGTTGATAGACAGAGAAGACGTGAGGCGCATGAAGCTATCCTATTGGTTGAAATGGGTAGTTCTACTAGACTAAGGGGGTAAATCTGCCGTCCAAAGTATAAACGCCGTATGTCCATACAACAAACACTTTTTCAATTTTTTCTGACAAAATGCTGTTTTACAAAAACCTAACAAATATTCATACTTCATTTTTTTGATACACCTCCGCTATACCATTCGGAACTAAAAAATGAAAAAATGAAGCCTTATGGCAACTGAATTTTCTTGTAATAGAACAGTACGTGCTGGAATAAAATGCAAAGTTTTGAGTGGAGTTATTGCGTTCTTGCTGTGGACGGCAAAAATGATGGACTAATGTGCTGGTTATACGCTCAAATTCCCATCAGTTTCCGATCAAATGGTGACTGGTATGCACCATCTACCATCAAATTTCTGCGACCTGTAAAAATTTGATGGTAGATGATGGAACTGTGGGGCTCACCCGTCATCTGATTTCCACACAACCGCGCTTATTTCAGGCTTACTTCAATCAACACGCTGTTAATTTTACTCATTAATCTAGATAACTCTCGACCGCCATCTTGGTCATCATTTTGATCGGAATTTGACGGAAATTTGAGCGTGTAACAAGGCCATATCTATCGTGTCTCTCGTGGATTGCAGTTAGTCAGTGTATTATCTACGTTCTTTGTCCATCGCAACCACCCGCCACTACCAATAGAATCCCTTCACATTCCTTTTGTCATCTTTGTCTGTCGCTTTTTCTACTAATTTAAACAATCGGCTCCGTTATCCTGTATCTGCTTGACCCAACTTATTTTGGTCGCTTCATTGTCACTAAACTCACAATCTGTTTAAGTGTGGCGAAAAAATGGTGAAAACTTGGTGGTAATCTAGACAATGGGCATTTTGTATCAGTAGCTTTTATTTCTTGCAGGCGTCAACAGATCGGTTCCGAATGACCTCGAGACTAACTTTCCAAGATTAATTTTATCCTGAGTTCCTCTCAAATAAAAGACAACTAGGGCCCCATCTTTTTAATGATCTTTTGTAAAAACGAAATTTTCGTAAAACGCTCCATAGGGAATCTTGCCATCTGCTCGCAGCAATCGTCAGCAAAACTGTGAATTGGTTTTCGCCTATGGGTCTTCATTGTTTGTACATAGTTTTTGTAAATTTTCATCTGAGTTAAAGTAAAAATAGAGAATTTCTGTAATAAAACAACAAATTTATTTAAAACGGTTTTCTTATTTTCTTACAAAGTTAAATCCCTCTGTATTATGGCACTAAGAACATTCTTATACGCATAATTTATTTTTGTATAAAATCAGTAAATTTATGAATGAGGTAATAGTTTGGTCTATTTATAAGGAATTAGGAGCTTGCTGGTTGTAAATTTGACATATCTGTGCCAAACAGAACTATGTGCATTATGACGTAAGACCTGTTACGCATATATCCTCATGGGTCTCAGGGCTCAGGTGTTAATGCACATAGTTCCGTTTGGCAGAAATACGTCAAATTAACATTAAGAGATCCAGTGGTGTGGCGTGCGATATATCGATTGATCTGCCATTTATGCCTATGGAAAAGTATCGATAAGCAGGGTGTTTGCACTTCGCAACGAACACCTTAAGAATCGATTCTTTACCATAGTTTCAAATGGGGAAATATTGACAATCGATCAATCACGCCTCGCCTCTGAAGAGATCATTCAAGAAACTGAAAAATACGAGTAACTCTGTATCTCGTCTAGAGCATTAAACACACATTCTTTTCGTAGCTGTATTTTTTATGAATATACATAATTGAGACTATTCTTCTGAAACTTCATCCATTTGACTGTCGGCTGAATTTTCAACCTATAATGTAACACTCAACGCAGAATTTTTAAAAGTTCTACGCAGTTTCTAGATTTAGTAAAAGTAAGGAAATCATTTCAATCACTGCTGTGAATGTTGTGTTATAATCTGAGAAATAACTATCACTGCACGGTGTAAATACCTCTTGACTTTGTTGAATTTCCATTTTCACGGAGTAAAATTTGTTTTTGAATGAATTTGGCTCTTAACATAAAAGTACACAGGAAAGAAATTAAAAAGCATTTTAAAACACTCCCGCCCCCTTCGTTCACAATAGAATGTATGTTCAGTGTTCAGCGTATTAGCTAACACGATTAGACATCAATCGCTTTTCTTTTAAAATATGCGCTCCCAGCATAAGCTCTGTGGAGAAAGTATGATGAGATAAAAATATTACTCTCTAAAAATAGCACTGAAAAAAACCCCTTAAAATATGGAAAATTTCCTTAATCTAGCTCCTTAAAATTACATCCTAAAATTATGCTCTGGACCATGTTTAAAGATCCAGAGCGTCAGTCTTAATATCTCATCGATTTATTCCGTAGACTCTAAGATGCTGCGGAATTTTTTTGGTAGAAAAATGCTGACAGGATAGGTCTTAGTCTACGTTAAGTACTACTAAGCAGCTTGTCTTTTCTCTTCTGAAATGCAGTTGCAGCATCATCTTGACTTGATTTTCTGGTCGTAAAAGACAGTCCTCACTTCCATCAATCGAAGCTCAGGCCGTTGATTCTTGCAAGACGGAGTTTTTGGGATTGAGTCTACGAAGACGATTCCACCTCGGAGAAGCTTGTACGGCGCGACCATTTCTGCAGAAATAAACACAGCAGATTTTAAATTCAGTGGGTATCAGAGCCGGATATCCTGTCGTGATAGCGAAGAGAGCCAGAAGTGCAAAATTTTCGAAATCGAGTTTTCTTCAAAATTCGTCTAAACTCTTTTAGATGAAATTACTGAGACAGCTAAAACAGCAAAATTCATCCTAATTTATTGAAAACGAGACGTATGTAAAAGCCGTAAGTGCACAAAAAATGTCGACAAAGTTTTTTTTCAAGACAGCCGTAGATGCATGAGAGCCAATGAAAACAGTGCTTTCCAGTAAAGTGCCGCCCTCTCCTGCCAATTACTAACATGAAAATGTGTTTGTTGTGCGTCCAAAACGCAACCACGAAAGCATGCAGAAGACAGCACTTACGGCTGTCTTGCCTAACAATAACCTAGCATGAAAATGAAAAATACCCTTTTTGTGTAATGGAAATAAAATCAATCGATTTTTAATCATCCATACGATTTCTAGGAGTCTTCCGGACGATTAGTGGCAATTTGACAAAGAACGGAGGCTACTTTCAATGAAATGATCTTGTCAGAAGCTTCTGAGCCCGTTTTCTCAAAACTTCATTTTTGCACTTACGGCTCTCTTCGCTATTACGGCAGTATACGTAGTTGCTGCCCATGGGCCGCCTGTATTTTGCTGCCCCCTTCTCATTCGTTTTGATTCATTAATGAAAACCATCAAGTGAACGTGTCGGAGGGGAAGGGGTGCATAAGACGTGTTTACTCGTGTTGGACACATATTTTTGCGAAAGCCCTATCAACGCTACTAGCATAAGTTCACGGAACTTCGCGCGAAAGTTAAGGTCCGTGAACACATCTCTGTGTGGACAATGCCTTCAGTTTGTAAGAAATGAATGAAATAATTATGAAAGAACAAAAATAAAGGTCTAAGAATTTTAACTTCCGCCGCTGCGCCGCGTTGCCTCACTGTGTTCGGCGCAATGCGTGAAGTATTCATGCAGTCTTGTAGGCGCTACGCGTTTCGCGCCGCGCCGCGCTGACCGTTGCTGAACGCACTGTATTTGACGCAATCCGTGAAGTATTCATGTAGTCTTGTAGGCGCCATGCGTTTCACGTCGACCGCTGCTGACCTCACTGTGTTTGACGCAATGCGTGAAGTATGAATGCAGTCTTGTAGGCGCTAATATGTGTTATATGCCGACCGCTGCGCCGAGGACTTTTCCCTTTCATCTAAAGTCCTCGTTATCATTGCTCTCTACACCGCGCCGCTCCAGGCTAAAGTGCGTGTTTAGTTTCTCTCTTAACTCGCCTAGTAGTTAAAGGTGCTGTCTCTTGTATCACCAATAGACAATAAAATTAGAAATTACCACACCTACTTTCAGGAAAACAGAGATTTTGTCGCCTTTTCTAGTTTGTAATTTTTTTTCTGAATCCGATTTTTATTTATGCCTACATTTAAAAAATTGCAAAATTTGCCGCCATGGGCCGCGGCCCATATGGCCACCCCCAAATCCGGCCTTGGTGGCAATAGAAATTGCTCTGAAGTAATTTTGTATACATTTATCCATTGTACACTCCAGTGCAATGGAAATAATTTTACCATGTAATTGCAATTAATTTCAATCTCTTCTAGTTACCTTGGGAAGGAATGTTGCCGTAAAGTTGATGCAACACCCCCCATCATTATTTCCAGAACTAGGGGGTTATTGAAAGAACTTTGAGGAAATATTCCTCTTTAAGGTGAGCTTCCCAAAGACATAGAACCCCGATGTGTTTTAGAGTACCTATACACGGGAGATGTATTGCCATCTCTGTGCTGCTCTCTGATTGGTTCATCAGTTTTAGGCTATCTTAAAGCTCCAAAGTTGGCCCAATGTAAACAAACCCGAGGAACAGGCTGAGAAATGAATGATAATCGCACACAAAGGTTAATTTTCGGCAAAAATATCCATCCAAGTTCGATCCGAACTCAATTCAGAAGTTGGAGATAAAACAATTCCTATCACATCCAAAATCTTGTCTAGAACTTGGTCGCCATCTTGTTAGTTTACATAGGACCAAACTATGAGCGGAGGGGCTGGGGCTTGTTTACATTGGTCCAACTTTCGGGCTCAATGATAGCCGACCAATCAGAGAGCGGCACACTTTTTCTGTAGTTAAATTATTGAGATAGCAATGCTCTCCGTTCTCTAATGTGCTTGAAGGATGGCTTTTTACCGCGCATGTAGTCGTGGATATCCTGAGCTGTAACGTCGGAGGCTGGGCACGACTGTGAAACAACGAATGCTCTTGGAACTTGCCCGTAAATCTTGTGCTCGATTCCAATCACCGCTGCATCCTGGATCCACTGGTGCGAGATCAAGACGAATTCCAGCTCGCACGTCGAAACCTAGAAAAAGGAAAGAAAAAAATCACAGTTTTAAACTTTAGAAAATACAAAAAAATCACAAGTCAAGTTATACCTCTTCACTTTATCGAAAGCCGTAGCGCGAAACCAGCAGCCAAGCCAAGCCTGGCATGGGTGCAGTGGCGTAACGGGCGCCCCCGCAGACCCTGCTATGCAGGGGGGCCCTGGCGCCTAGGGGGCCCTCGGCCGCCGGAATTTTTTTCTCTCTCTCTCTTTGATCCTCAGCTTTGGTTTCAAACTTTGGGCCTTTACTTATCGAGATGGGGCTTCTTCCTTTGATTTTTATTGTAAGCTCGGGGTTTTTCATACTTTTCTTGGACTGTTCCTAACTTTTTGTTTGCTGGAGGGCCCCTGCCTTCCCATGTCCACTCAATGATTCCACTTTTCGTATTTCGGGTTTTGGGAGGCCCAAGAATCTAAAAGCCTTGGGGGCCCTTTGATTCATGGGCCTGGGCTGAGCCCCCGCCTTCCTTTAGATCATTGATCTTTTAGGGGCTCCATTTAATCGGGTACTTTTACGTTTTTATTTTTTTTTAAATATATTTATTCGCGCAAACATGCAAGTGAATCAAATTCCACCTCAGAACATAAAGTAAAAGAAGGCTAAATCCTGCACATACCATACCTAAAGGTAAAAAGATATAAGCTGCTGCCACTTTGATTTTTTGGTGGTTAAGGCTGATTTTCTCAAAAATTTTCGGGCTGCGGGCCTAGACCATACGAGAAAAAACGGGAAGGGGTGAGGAAGGGAGAGGGGGGGATAATTTTGGAATTTTATCCACTTAGGAGGCCCCTAGAAAAAATTTTGCAGGGGGGCCCAGCGGAAGTCCGTTACGCCACTGCATGGGTGGTCTGTGACACCTAGTATAAAACTTTGTATAACAAAATGTGACGAAACGATGACAAGGAGGACATATAGAAAAAGAAGGGATCCCATTGGTGGAGACTTGTGGTTGCAGCTAACAAAGGGGGTAAGTAATGGAGTAACTAACGGCAACCAACGAAAGACCTCATAGTTAGTCTCTCATCTTCCCCCTCAGTTTGTAATAACTGCCCGTTCCAACCTACACTGGAAAAAATAACACATTGGATCTAGAGTCCAGACTCTTGAAAACATTGACAAGAAAAAATACTCTTGATTCAATCAGATTTTTGCTTGGATCAAAAGGAAACCCCGCTCAAATTAAGAGGCTTGGCTCTTGATTTAAGCAAAAATCTGATTGAATCAAGAATATTTTTTCTGGTCGATGTTTTTAAGAGTCTGGACTCTAGATCCAATGTGTTTTTTTTCCAGTGTATAGGCCCATTTTCCCATTGGCTTCTTTGTCTATAGCTTTATCTATCAATTTCAATGATCAACCTGCAGGATTCCGCTGGTTTGCGCGGTCCGCGTGTAGGGTCTCCAGAGTTTTTCATTATGATTAACTAATCAATTAAATTCAGACTAGAGCAAGGAAGAGATAATCACCTGGTATCCTTGGTATTTAATTATCTCCTTAACCCTGTCGACGAAGAAGAAATAGCCGTCTTGATCGAAGTAACCCAAGTCTCCAGTGTGCAGCCATCCCTCAGAGTCGATCGCTTCGGCCGTTGCCTTAGGGTTATTAATGTATCCTTTCATCAAAAGCGGACCTTTGAAGCAGACCTCGCCTACCGATCCTGGCTTCAGCACGTTGTTGTTTTCCAAGTCAACGATCTGGAAAAGGTGAATGAATAATTTTACTTTTCCGAAACTACACTGGAAAAAAAAACACAATGGATCTGGAGTCCAGACTCTTGAAAACATTGACAAGAAAAAATAATCTTAATTCAATCGGATTTTTGCTTAAATCAAAAGGAAATCCGCTCAAATTAAGAGGCTTGGTTCTTGATTTAAGCAAAAATCCGATTGAATCAAGAGTATTTTTTCTTGTCGATGTTTTTAAGAGTCTNCCCAGTGTAGTCAAATATTTTATAAACATTATGCGAGGGACAGGGCCGGATTTAAGGGGTGGCCACATGAGCCGGGGCCCATGGCGGCAATTTTAGGGGGCGACGAATGGTGTACTTTTTTCAAATGTAGGTATCAAGGAAAAATCTGATTCAGAGAAAAAATTACAAATGAGAAAAGGCGAAAAAATCTCTCATTTCCTGAGAGTTAAAGTATAGTAATTTCTAATTTGTTCGTCTTTCGGTGATGCAATAGACAGCGCCTTTCATTAGTCTAGTTGAGAGAGAAACCAAACACTCAATTTGGCCTGGAGCGTGCGCGGCGTAGAGAGCAATGATGACGAGGGCTTGAGATGGAACGGAAAAGCCCTCTGCGCGCCTGTCAGTATGACACACATATTAGCGCCTGCAAGACTCCGTGAATACTTCATGCATTGCGTCAAACGTAGTGCGGTCAGCAGCGGTTGGCGTGAAATGCATAGCGCCTACAAGACTCCATGAATACTTCACGCATTGCGTCAGACGTAGTGCGGTCAGCAGCGGTTAGCGTGAAACGCATAAAGCCTACAAGACTGTAGGAATACTTCACGCATTGTGCCAAACACAGTGCGGTTGGCGCGATGGCGGAAATTAAAATAATTAAATCACATTCATGTTAATTCTTTCATAATTTTTTCGTTCTTTTCTTATAAATGAAAGGCCTCGTCCACACAGAGATAGGTTTACGGAACTTAATTTTCGCGCAAAGTTCTGTGAAATTTTGCTAGTGTTGACAGAGATTTCACAAAAAATGTGCCAAACACGAGTAAACGCGTCTTATGCACTCCTCCTCCTCCGGCACGTTCACTTGATAGTTTGTATCGATGTTTCAAACGAACGAGGAGGGGTGGCGAAATACAGGCGGCGCATGGGCGGCAAGTAGGTAAATCCGGCCCTGGCAAGGGAGAATTTGCACAAAAAAATGGTATTGCTTTATTCGAGAGTGCTCACTGCTCGGTAAGCTAAGTTTGCAGTATTTTTCATAACTTTTTTTCGAAAATGGAAAGTAGTAAGTATAATAATGTATTTAAAAGTGAGAAAATGTGCCGCTTCCTGATGCCATTTGGCGGCATTTTCCATTTAAACACATAAATGTGAGCAGATTAGGTTATTTTGTCATGTTACTTCCAATAATTGAATAATAAAATAAAAAATGGACCTTGGCCCCCAGCCCCCCCCCCCAAATTTTAGCGTACCCCAAAGTCGTTTGACGTGCATAAGGAGACCATAGATATGGTCTTCTCTGTAAATTTTGAATGAAATTGAACAGATAAATTCTGAGATATCGCTGTAGACAGATTCGGGGGACGCCTGACGGACATACACACATTTTTTCAAGTATGGTTATTTTGACTCCTGGGGACCTTAAAACGTCTAGAAATGATGAAATTTCAACTTTTTTCCCCCTTGTGCAGAATGACAGTACTTCCTCTACCCTAGGGTAGCGAAAAAGTAAAAATCAAATTAAATATCTTCTCTTTTTTTCCTATTACCTTGCATTGCATGGAGTCGATGAGCCTTCCGGGAGAGCCAGGTTTTTGGAGGCTGCTGACCCCAGTGAACATAGTGAAGGTGGTCTCCGTGAGTCCGTACGAGTGGTGGATCACGACCGCTTGCTGAAATTTCTTCTTCAGATCCTCTTGCTCTTTAGCCCCGATCGGGGCTGCCCCCGTCCAGACGTGCTGCACGGATTTCAGGTCTCCGAAATTTATCCACGACGATTTGATCAGCGTCACCAAGAGAGACGGCACGATGTGGAGGTGTGTCAACTGGAGTGCGAGGAAACATATAACGAATGGGTAGGGAGACAGCAAGAACCGAAGAAATAGGAATAAACTCGGTTTATTACTAGAATGAACAGACCAGCTGGGATACCGACAGGGACGGTGGCTGAAATGATAGACAAAACTAGAACCGAGCTATGGGCTATAGCCCAGGCGAATATGCGATGCGACGTGGAAGGAAATTGCACGCGTCGGACTAAATAGCGACAGTGGACTGATCATTGAAATTGATAGACAAAGCGATAAACAAAGTAGACATAGAGAATATGGAGCGATCCTATTTGATGAAATGCATGGTTTCTGTAGACTAAGGGAGAAAATTATGAACTAGCTACCCTGCCGTGCTAAGGAAGAACGCCGTATAAACCTTCAGGCGTTGCCACATTTCCTCTGATAAAACTCTTTACCAGTGACTTTATGGTTGTTTTCCTTCCATTTTTAAGAGAATTTCCTCCGCAATATTACCTAAAGTTCCCGAAAATTTCAAGGAAATACGTTTATAACTTTCCTCAAGAATGATTATTTTACCAGAGGAAATTTGGCAACTCGTGAATGTCCAAACGGCGTTCTTCCTTAGCACGGCGATATAGGGTCTCTCATGGGTTGCTGTTAGTTAGTCTATTACCTACCTCCTTTGTCCATTTCAACTACCCTCCTCCACCACCCTGGTAAAAATTGGCAGTAGAATCTGTGTTTCAAAATACCATAGACCTACAGCCGGCTGTAAGATTTCCAATAGCTTTTATTGCCGGCAACACAATTTCTTATAGCCTTTTATAGCCGATGGCGATTAAGCAACAACCTGGCGATAAATTGTATGCTAAATGGCACTAATTACGGATGCTAGGACTTCGTGAGTTTTTGGACTACCGCTCTCTTGTTGCGTCGCAGTATCTTGATTTCATTTGCGAGGAAAGCTTCGCACTTTTGAAGGATGCCTGCCATTTCTAATATGTTGGAGCGCCTTCAATTTCGTATGATACTGTGCAACACCTCTGGTGTGAAATAGTTGCTTCAAGCGCCGCGGTACGCTGCGGCGCGGCGGGCGGGCAGCTAGCGCTGAACGCGCATTGGCGCCTACAAACCTAACAGGGATACTTCACGCATTGCGCAATGCGTGAAGTATCCCTGTTAGGTTTGTGGGCGCCAGTGCGCCGCCGCGCCGCCGCGCCGCTCCGCTTTGTGTTAGGCTCTAATATTTAATATCGCGGAGTCAGCGTTTTTCAACTCATGACTTTGAAATGTTTGCACACTCCATATGGATTATTCTCATTTTAATTGATGAAAAAAAATATGTGGTAAAGGAAAATATTATGTGCGTTTTGTAAATTTTTAGGTGATTCCGCACAAACTGAAGGATTCACAAAACACAAGAATTTCTACAAAATTTCTCATAGCCTTTTATAGCCGATGGCGAAAAAGCAACAGCCAGGCGATAAAGTGTAAAGCCCGGCGATAGGAACTATAGCCCGGCCGTATGATTTTTTCCTATGATGATGATTTTCTATCGCCCTCTTCAGTCGGCTATAAGAACTCCTATGGTATTTTGAAACGCAGCTCCTATCGCCAATTTTTACCAGGGCAATAAAATCCCTCCATTCCCCTTTTGTCTTCTTTGTCTATACCTTTGTCTACCATTTTCAATAATCGGTCCGCCGAATGTCAAGAGCGAGGCCAAGCTATCCGCTGAGTGTCACAAGTCGTGAAGCAAGTTGTGACGTCAGAATAGGCAAAAATGCTCTCAACCAGGAGAATATGTAACTAATACAAATTTCATCAAATGGCAAATTTTTGACATCATATTTTCATTATTGGACGTATTTCTATCAAACGGAACTATGTGCATTAAGACATGAGCCCTGAGACTCATGAGAATAGATGCATAACAGGGCTCACGTCATAATGCATATAGTTCCGTTTGACAGAAATACGTCCTATTATTAAGTGCAAATTGCACGCTGATACGTTTGAACAGACGCATTTAAACTTCTCGAGAAATACGCGATACTGGAAGTTTCTTTTGACATTTTCTGCAGCCCTGTTTCATCGTCACTCTCGGCCTCGGCAGTAAAAACGCCTTCAGATTTTTAAATAGGCAATATGCGTTCCGGAGAGTTTGAATAGTTGCTTGTGGCGCCTTCCTCTAAGAACTAAGACCCTCATCCACAATCTTGCCAGTCGTCTTTTAGGTAATGAAATATTGCCGTGCTAAGGAAGAGCGTCATGTGAACATTCGAGAGTTGCCAAATCTCCTGCGATAAAATATTTCTTTTTGAGAAAAATTATGAATGTTTGTCCTCGAAATTTTCAGGAACTTTAGGTGAAATTGCAAACAAAATTATCTGAAAAATTGGAAGAAAATTATTCGTCCGTTTATAAAAAAAATCTTGTTTTATAGATTGAAATTTGGTAATGCCTGAAAATTCATACGGCGTTCTTCTTTAGCACGGTAGAATACGCAAAACACATATTTTAATAATGCATCGGCAGAATGAATTATGAATATTTACGATTGTTCAAGCGTACATACGCTTGAACGTCAAATCAAATCAATGAGGTAACAAATAATAAGTTATGCAATCGATTGAATTAATGATCCGATAGATTAAGAACTCAAGTATAAGGCGTGTCTCTTCATATATGTCGCTTTATATTGCACTCTATTGCTCTGCGACCCCCGGACGCCACATTTGCCTATGTCTCCATAGGTTATTGGGCAACTGAAAACGTGATCTCTCTTTGTCAACACCTTGCCACGATACCGATTTGGTTGGTGTGCATCAGTGGCGCGGCGTCGCTTGATTTGTCATGTATCGATCGATCTGCCATTTAAACCTATGGAAAAGGACCGATAAACTGGGTGTTCGTAACGAGCACCTTAATGATCGATCTTTTACCATAGCCTCAAATGGAGAAAAATCGATTATCGATCACCTACGCCTCGCTTTTAAATTGCGGCACCAACAAAACCAGCTGATTCAAAATCAATATTATAAAATGTAAATGTGTTCAATGTAAATAATGAGTAAAAACGCGATTGTTGACTTCTGAAAATTTCAACAGGTAGGAGTGGGTATAAATACTTACTGAGTATTCTTTGATTGTTTTTATCAACGATGGTAAGGAAAATTTCGAGATGTTGACAACGGTTGCCCCTTCGTACAGGCACATAAGCATCAAAACGAGTCCGTAAGCATGGAAATATGGCATTAGGCCCACTGCTCTTTCGCCCTTTTCGATGAAGGTTTTGCTGCAAGAGAATATTTTGAAAAAGAGAGAAAATTAATGCTTAAAATCACACTTACAGTGGTTTATGAGTTCATTCTTGAGAAATCACGGTGTTATGCTTTTTTTTTCCAATTTCGGTTCAAAATTATTTAACTCAGTCCGTCACTTGATTTTTTTAGAGCCTTAAAAAATGAGCATATCGATAGTGGGACGAAAAAATTCCTGTACCTCGTTTTTCAACGTTTCAAATTTCGTATTTTTCATAATTTTTTTCCGACATGGAAAATTGGAGAAAAATAGATTTAAAAGTGAGAATATGTGTCGCCTTATGACGTCACCTGGCGGCATTTTCCGTTTAAACACACGTATTTTAGCAAATTAGGTTATTTTGCCATATTTTCTCTAATAATTGTCCAATTTTGAAACCAAGGATATCCTCGTGCTCAGTTTTCCTAGAAGTTTCGTCTTAAAGATGAAATTCACAAAATTTAAGACACCTGCGAATTCCCTATTGTTGAATCTCCAAAAGTAAAAGCTTCTACCTGTTGCCAAGAGGCCAGTGGAGGGTCTTTTGAGTCTGGGCAAAAGCACAGAGAAAAAAAATGCGGTGTTTGCATTCCGGGTATCTTGGAATTTTTTTGATGACGTAGGTCGGTACAGCGACGTTTATCATCGATTTTCTTGGAAATGGTGTAATTTATGGAAAAAAGGCATACTATAAAAAGTGCTTGAAATTATATCATGAGTTGATTTAAGCAAAAGAATGGGACATTATGGTCCGTTTTTCATTCTTCGAATTCCGGATTTCGCTGTCCAGGTTGTACCGACCTACGTCATAGGGTAAAGAAACCTCAAGATGCAAACACCTCCTTTTTTTTCTCTATGGAGCAAAAGGCACACTGACCTGAGCTTCAAAGAGGCGATGATATTCTGGTGGGTGAGCATGACCCCTTTGGGCAAGCCGGACGACCCGCTGGAATTGAGGACCAATGCCAAATCCTCGGGAATATTCTCCAACTCCTCCAGCTCGCGCAAGCTCCGCAATTCGCTTCCTGTTACTGCGGAGCTGACCGCACTTTTCTTCCGCAGCCGCGCGTCGTTGTTCGGGGGCCCCAGAAGGCCCGCGTCCCCCGCGCGGAAGGCGTAATCGTGAGGCTCGGCCAATACCTTTAGAAAATGGAATTTCATGATGCTATTCGGACCAATGGACCATTAGACAAGGCTCGAATTCAAGCATTCTGATACATGTTTCTTAATCAGAATTTCACGTAGAACACGATTCGCGCAACGAAAATTACTGAAACTAACTCCTGGCGAAGATATTACCTTTTTATTTCACATTGGTTACGCGGATTTTGAACTGCCCGCTCACAAGAAACTGAAAGCTCTACGTGAGTCAAATCGCGCACTACAACAGTTTCAGCAAGTCTCTCAATCGAGCACTGTTCATTTCCCACCATGTGTTGTTCAAATTATAAGCAATTTGCTATAGCTGAGCCAAAGCGTCAAAATTGTGGTTGCCAGATTTTCATATCGCAGAGACTGTCACGATAATATTCAACGCGCGATGTGAATCACGTAGAGCATTGAGTTTTATTGAGCGGGTGGTTTGAATTCACGCATCAGGAATCGTTGAAAATCTTCGTAAGGAATTGATTTCGGTAATTTTCGGTGTGCGCATCGTGTTTTACGTGAAATTTTGGTTAAAAAACATGTATCAGAATGCTTAAATTCGCACCTTGTCTAGTGGTCCATTGGACGCATTTATGCTATATGGAACCATGTGCAAGTGGAAAGATGGGGGTGTGCTCGTTAGTGATTGGACCATAAGAATGAATGGGAAATATAAAGCGCCAGTGACGTCAGCGGCAACGACGAGAGAAACGACGATCGAGGAGGCGGTCTTCAACTCATGAACCCTGTCCACGAGGCTCTTGTCACATGTCCACGGGTCACGAATTAGCGCTCAGTCCCTTTTAATTTAATGTCATATCCCACTTTTCCATTTTCTCAAAAAGAACCATATCCGCTTTTACATTGTTTCTTACGCAGCCTCCACGAGCATATCCCATCTTTCCTCTTGCTTATAGTTCCTTTTAGCATGAATACGTCAAATTTATGCTAAAAGTAACTAGAGTCCCTTACTCAACGGTTTTTGGCATCGAATTTGGTTTCAAGTAAGCGACGCCATGCGACGGGGCGTTTCAAAATTTCCGCTGCCATTTCATTTTTTTACAGAGGAATTATGTTCAACGAAGCTGTCTGAAAATTTTACGGAATTTTCTTCGTGCTGCCGATAAAATTCAGTGACATTTTCAAACAGATTCAACCAACAATTTTTCTGTAAAATAACAAATTGGCAGCGGAAATTTTTATTTTAAACGTCACATGGTGCTCGAGATACTTTGGCCGGAAAGTGACGAAATCATGATCCGCCTTCGTTTTGACTGGGTAGGCAACTATTCTGATTCGTAAAAGCGCTTTTCGCAGATCCTCTCGAAATGTAGGCGAACGACGCGACGGTCGTTGGTCCGAAAGAGTGTCGAATTGTGATTCGCCTTGATCATGAACGGGTAGGCAGCCTGTTTGACATATTGTTGCCGGTCGATTCACTTTCGAGGAGCACCGCTCTTATGTCATTGGATATTGTAAAAAAGTATAAAAATGAGACTATTACTGAAGGAAAAGTTCGGTTATATGATTTGAACTTTTGGTGTTCCATATTATTCCGATCATTCATATCATTGAGATCACGTAAGGGCACCAAAAACTGGAGGCACAAGAGAAAGGGGATGGAAATAAAGACGAACAGACATCGCTGAGCAAGGAAGGAACCAAGCCACATCAGCTATTGCCAAATTAATGGGCCAATTTAATTTTTTACATGAAAACGGTTGTGCGGATTTTTGTGCAAATAGTGAATTTCCTGCGTGGCACGGAGCAAATTCCTTGAAAAATTTCAACGGATTCTGCACAAACGTTCTCTTGTAAAAAATTGAAATGCCCTGTTAAATGTGGCTATAGCTAATGTGACTTTGTCCCTCTTTACAATACGCGGTCCAAATGATAGGACGAACGAAGGATTGTGTGTATCTCAATATGGAAGAAGATATAAGACATAAGGCGTAGCCTGTAGGAAACATGCAATGTATTCAAGTGAAATCGTACACCAACTTTTCGGTTTGTCAAACCGAACTCTTGGATCGCTCTACCGAATTGCGTCGGTAAAAAGAACTGACGAACGAAGTTCGTTAGTATGAATCGGTATGATAAACTGAACTTTCGGTTTGACAAACTGACGGTTCAGTTTGACAAACAGAAAGTTCAGTTTGACAAACCGAAAATTTGAGAGGCTATGGAAGCCCGAACGTTCGGTTCATATGACCGAACTTATTTTTTTGAGTGACATAATTACCTTGTTCATTGAGATGACGCCATCGCTGAGCTCAACGTTGGGGTTGTCACCGAACTCGATGACGTGTTTGATTTCGCCCATCGGCGGGCAAAAGATCGTCGTGAACGTCCCTTTCTCGAGGATGAGGCCCTTCACCGAGACCAGGCTCAAAGCGTGCAGGATCTCCCCTTAAAAAGAAAAATATACTCAATGGGGAATTCGCATGCAAATTTTTATTGCTTCATCTGGAAGTGCTTAAAGAGCTGACTTCGCAGTATTTTTTTAAATTTTTCTCTGATATGGGAAATAGTATTAAAATAGAGTTACTTAAAAGTGAGAAAATGCACCTCCTAGTGACATCATCTGGCGGCATTTACACGGTGAAAGTCGGCAATCACATAACTCGTTTGCGGTGTCTGAAAATCTCCGCCTCTACGTCATTTTTTTAAAGGAGAACAAATTGATGTTATTTCTTGAAGTTTTTGCAGAATTTTCTTCGCATTGAGAAGAAAAATCACGACAGTTTTAAAGAATTGCCGTTGAGTAGTTTTCCATTTAAAAAATAAAGTATGACAGGAAGTCTGCGACGTCGCAAACCGAGTTATGTGATTGTCGACTTTCACCGTCGATTTACCTTTTAAACGCACGTATTTTAGCAGATTAGATAATTTTGTCGTATCTTCTCCAATAATTGTTCAATTCAGGAACCAAGGGTATCCTCGTGTTCAGTGCACTTAGTAGTTTCCACTCAGACACGAAATTCATCTTTCAGACATCTGCAAATTCTCTATTCTGTGCTCGGACGAGGCTTTTATAGCACGGTACGCTCAAAATGCCATCAATATTCATCCGGATTTTTTTAACACTATGGACCAGTGGCATAGCTAGGAATTCTTTGAGGAGAGGAGGGTTCATTTACACTATTTCATGTGAGTCCCTGATAATATTTTATGGCTGCCCTCCAATGGACCACTAGACAAGGTACGAATTTAAGCAATCTGATACATGTTTCCTAACCAGAATTTCACGTAGAACACGATTCACACTACGAAAATTACCGGAATCAACTTCTAACGAAGATATTAACGTTTTTATTTCGCACTGATTACGAGGAATTTGAACTGCCCGCTCACAAGAAACTCAAAGCTCTACGTGAGTCAAATCGCGCACTACAACGGTTTCAGCAAGCTTCTCAATCGAGCAATGTTCATTTNCCCGGGTCACGTGACATAGGTTCCGTCTTAAAGGTCAAGTCCCGAAACGATAGGTAGGCAACCCGCAACCAGTGATCTCACACCGGGGTCACGTAGCTCCCGACTTAAAGGTCAAATTTGTCGCAATATCCCTATATATACACTACTCAAGAATCATCAAATATCTTCGTCAGGAGTTGATTTTGGTAATTTTCGTTGTGCGTATCGTGTTCTACGTGAAATTTTGGTTGAGAAACATGTATCAGAATGCTGAAATTCGTACCTTGTCTAGTGGTCCATTGTGAAAAAAAGGTACAATTAACGAGGCACTAACACGAGATCGAGTTAATCAGAGAGGTCGGACATGAAATTTTTTACTAAAACTGCAAATTTTGATGTTTATTTCGTCACATTTTAAATTTTAAGGGGTGCTCCTGCAGGAAAATTCCACGAGGAAACCAATAAAACCACTTTTAAAACCTCAAAGTTTTGTGTGAACGGAGTTACAAGCTTTCAAAGTCGGCGGCGCAGAGAGCAATGATGACGAGGACTTGAGATGGAAAGGAGAAACCCTCTGCGCGCCGGTCAGTATGACACACATATTAGCGCCTGCAAGACTCCATGAATACTTCATGCATTGCGTCAAACGTAGTGCGGTCAGCAGCGGTTGGCGTGAAACGCATAGCGCCTACAAGACTGTAGGAATACTTCACGCACTGCACCAAACGCGATGGCTACTAAAAAATTCCACGAGGAAACCAATGAAACCACTTTTAAAACCTCTAAGTTTTGTGTGAACGGAGTTACAAGCTTTCAAAGTCTCCAAGTTTTGTCCGATCACTCTTATGGACTCGATCTACTTTACGCCGTATGAATATTCGAATGTTGCCAAATTTTCGCTCGGAAAATATCTATTTTTGAAGAATGTAATGAATATTTTTTCTTGAAATTTTCAAACTTTTTAGATCAAATTTCGAACAAATCCTCCGAAAAACTGGAGGAGGTGGATTCACAAATTTTCCTGAAAATTCCTTGCTATGTGGACGACGCCCTTATTAAGGACCAGACCTTTACACCGATTTGATTTACCCATCTTTTTTAGTTTGGAAGATATGAAATCCGGGAACTAACTTTGTAGATTACTCTCGTTGTAATTACGTCTCCCTTCTCCCGAGGGACTAACTACAAGGTGGTCTAGAGGTGCATCCTTATTCAGATCAAACATGTTTACTCCGTCGAATGACGTCCAGTTCAGGCTCTTAGAATTATAAATGGACGCATTTCTGTCAAACGGAACTATGTCCATTATGACGTAAGCCCTGTTATGCATGTAATCTTATAGGTCTCAGGGCTTATGGGCAATCATGTCTTAATGCACATAGTTCCGTTTGATAGAAATACGTCCAAATGTGCTGTTCTCAACGTCGCGACACTGCAGGTCAGACATTGACCTAGAGATCTGATAGGTTCACGTATACCTAACTCACAATTAGTGCATTTTAGAAGCACATATTGATTCAAAGAGTCAAAGGTTAATTGAACGTATTAAAATCGAAAGGAACAATCTCCATTATAAAATGGGCTCTATCATGCATGCACTCTTATGGGTCTCAGGAACCAAGTCACAGTGGAGTTTCTTTGATTGAAATGCGTCCAATTGAAGATTTTCCATTTTTTTCCACCGGAACCGACGCTATTTTCAACTTAGGGCGCGAGTTAAAAGTAAAATTCTTGATAGCGTTTTTTCCAGTTTTATCAAGAGATAAATGCATCATTAAGGATTCGAGAGCGATATAGGAGTACCAAATTTTATTGTCAAAAGTTTCATTCGTTTGTGCCCCTCCTCCTTTGCCCCCGCTATATGTCTACTATTATTCTATCTATTTTACGTTTACTTGCCTCTAAGTTTCTGGCAAATAGCATTTTTTTACTTTTGACCTTATGACCTTTCTCGGACCATTGACGCCTGCCGATGCTTCAATCTTCTATTAACCCACGTAGAGAGCTAAAGCTGACACATACAAATTTAAAATTGCAGATTTGTCCATTTTTTAAAAAAAATACTCAAGCAAATAACACAATTGACAAGATTTATTGTGGTAGGCATGTATAGTCAAGATTTGAATTTGAGGGGGAGGCTTAGTAAGGAGTAAGGGCCTCCCTCAAAAGAAGGCGCGTTCTTCGGGGGTCCACCCCCAGACATTTTTTTAAAAAGACTCCCTGAAAATTTCTGTCTTCCACTATTTTATCTCGACTTTTAAGTTGTAATGAAGCTGGCTTTTCATGATGATTTGAGGGCCTTAAAGGACAAGGCACGTAAGTGCAGTTTTTGCTATTTCGAAAAGTTGGTGTTTGAAGTTCCGAAAGATGATACGCATCCATATGGCAGAAATAACGTTTAAACTGACTTTTTGATGCGTAAACATTGGAATTTGGGAGCAATGTTTTCAAGGAATATGCAATAAGACTAGTTTTACTCAAAATCAGCAATATCTCAATTTTTCAAAAACGACACTTATGCGCCTTCTCCTCCAAATCCCTCACTTTAAGCATTCATGATCTAAATCACTCGCCGCTTTCGCCAAACTCTGCCGCTTCCGTCTGGTTGGCTGCCCTTGAGGTCCCTAGGAGCCCGATATCTCGACATGTCCGTATTCATCCTATACTGCCGTGATAGCGAAGAGAGCATTAACCCAAGTAGCATTTCTCAACGGAAAAGTTGCTATATATTGAGATTTTATCGACGATAAAATCGCCAGGATCATCAACAACTGAGCGATTATTCTCTATCTTATCGCAATAAAATCGCGCTTTCATCGCCTGACAATTTATCGCGATATTTTCGAAATAAAAATCGCGATAACTGCCGATTTGATCTCGATTATATCGACAAAAATTGATCAAGATTTTATCGAACCAAAAATTGCGATTTAACCGCCATATATCGTGATTTTTAATGGGATAATATCTCGATATATTGCCACCGATATAATCGCGATAACCAACCGATAAAATTGCTATTTATCCCGATCACTGCTATTTGGGTGAGTGCAAAAATGAGGTTCTGAGAAAACGGGCTCAGAAGCGTCTGACCGGAAAATTTTATCGAAGAAAAAGCCTCCGTTCTTTGTCAAATTGCCACTAATCATCCGAAAGACCTTTAGAAATAGTTTGGATGATTAAAAATCGACCGATTTTGTTTCAGTTACATCAGAAGGGTATTTGTCATTTTCATGCTAGGCTATCGTTAGGCAAGACAGCCGTAAGTGCTATGCATGCTTTCGTGGCTGCGTTTTGGACACCCAGCAAACACATTTTTAGGTTAGAAATTGGCAGAAGAGGACGGCGCTTTACTTGAAAGCTCGGTCGTCATTGACTCCTTAGAGGAATAATGCCACTTATTGCTGTTTTGTCTGAAACTAAGCATTTTTAATACACTTCCGGTTTTCTCATACGTTTCGTTTTCATACAATTAGGATGAATTTTGCTGTTTTAGCTATTTCAGTGATTCCGTCTAAAAGAGATTAGACACATTTTGAAGGAAATTCGATTTCGAACATTTGACTCTTACTGCTCTCTTCGCTATCACCGCAGTATACAGGGTGTCCAGGAGTTAACGCACGTAACTTTCAGGATCGATTTTTCGGCTCTAAGTACCAATTTTCCCCCCAACACATATGCCCGAAAACGCTTCATAAGTAAGCTATGCACTTCCAAAGTTGCTATTATTTGTATTTAAAAATGATATAACCCCTCGTTATTTAGTGACTGAAACTTTGTGAAGGAGGGGGGGGGTATTTCTAGCGTAGTGTTCATTTTTTGTGTTTTCGAGGACGTCCGTTTCCGGTAAATGACGTCACGAGCGTCCCCGAATTTTAAAATCGTGATAACTTTTTTGGTAGATGATATTTGGAAAACGGATTACGGTACGTGAAAGAGCACAAAAAATCAAGGGTACAATGTACGTACAAAATTTCCCAGAAACGCGTCATATGACGCAACAGAGCTTTGAAATCGTTCCAGATTTTCGAAGCTCCTCGCTGTATAGACAAATTTTACTGCGGGGATCGTACGCAAAATTGCCTACATAGCAAGGATTGAGGAAGGGCCTTCGCGGCAGTTTCGGGATTTTCGAAGCCCCTTGTTCAATCCTGAAATTTAAGCACGTTAACTTCCGGACATCCTTTACAGGGAGTCTCAAGATTAAGTACGAATATTGAAGGAGTCGATTCTTTGTGTCAAAAAAAGACGTTTTTGTGGTATAATTTTGTCCAAAAACGCTTTCCCTAGGGACCATCCCCCATCCCCTTCCCTCCTACCCGCGATCCATTCAGTCCATATTACCTAAAAACGATGAGTCATAGCGAAATAGTGCAAGATATATTCTCTCAATATTTTTCAACGCTGAATCTAGTGGTGCCGTCAAAAATAATTTTTGTCTCTAGAAACATTAATGTTGGTTACTTTAGGGTTCAATACTCCCCTAAGCCCCCTCTCAAAATGAGTAGTCCTTTTTCTGGAGGTCAAAAATGAAAAGAGTGCTAAAAATTACATTTAGTTACCGATTTTCATTAATCTTGGTTAATAAACATTGTCGCAGTGTCAAAAATACGTTTTTTCTCCTCCAACTTTGGGGGGCCGTGGCCCCCAGGTAAAGCGTTTTTGGAAAAAGTTATACTTCAAAAACGTCTTTTCTTGACCCAAAGAATCGACTCCCTCAATATTCGAACTAAATCTTGAGACAACCTGTATAGGATGTCCGGAAGTTAACAAAATTAAGTTTCAGGATCGAGCATGGGGCCTCGAAAATCCCGAAACTGTCTCGACAGCTCTTCCTAGCTCCTTGCTACGTAGGCAAGTTTCCTACAATCCCTGCAGTAAAAATTGTCTACCCAGCAAGGAGCCTCAAAAATCTGGAACTTTTTCAAAGCTCTGTTGCGTCAAAACGACGCGTTTCTGGAACATTTTGTGCAGTACCTTGTGCCCATGATTTTTTGTGCTCTTTCACGAGCCGTAATCCTGGGAAACCCTGTGTAGGTACCACACTGAAAAAAATTCTCGGCGTTTCTACCAAGGTCCGTTGTTACCTTTACCATCTCACTTTTTTTACCAATTATTGGTAATTTTACCAAGACAGACTGGTAAACTTACCTAAAAACCGGTCTTTTTACTGTATTTTCAGGTAAGAATACCACTTTCATTGGTAATCAATTCCCGGTAACTTTGCCATTTTATCTCGGTAATTCTACCATAGTCGATAAAAAATATTGGCGTTTTTACCAAGGTCCAGTAAAATTACCGAGAAAGTTCAATAATTTTACCGAGATTTCTCGTTAAAATTACCAATTCTATAAATGGTGATTTTACCAAGAAAAAACTCGGATCAATTAGAACCCTGAATTCTTGGTAATTTTACCCTTTTCTTAGTAAATACACCGAGATTTTTTTTTTCAGTGTACGTTCATTACGTTCATTACGTTCGTTACGTTACGAGATTTCTCGGTAAAAGTACCAATTCCATAAATGGTAATTTTACCAAGAAAAAACTGGGATCAAATTAAACCCTGAATTCTTGGTAATTTTACCCTTTTCTTAGTAAATACACCGAGATTTTTTTTTCAGTGTACGTTCATTACGTTCATTACGTTCGTTACGTTACGAGATTTCTCGGTAAAAGTACCAATTCTATAAATGGTAATTTTACCAAGAAAAAACTGGGATCAAATAGAACCCTGAATTCTTGGTCGAGATTTTTTTTCAGTGCACCTTTAACCAGGCTAGAAAGTATAGGGAACTTACTGAGAGTGAATCGTGGGTTGATGAGGTAGCATGCCGCGCCGGAGTTCCAGATACCTAGGAGGATCCACACGTAGTCGGCGTTGTTTTTACTCATGAGCACGATAACGTCCTTGGGCCCGACGCCGCGGGCACGGAGCCATCTTGTCAGCGCACTGCTCCTCTCTATTATATCGTTGTATGTTAATTTCCGCCCTGTCTCGCCGTCCACCTGAACAACACAAGAAACGCGCACTTGGAATGAATGTTATGGCGAGGATCTCACCCACGGAGTAATTAATAAATCGAGATAGATTATGAAATATCCAGCTAATACCGTCGCTCTTCCGACGTAAGGGCGTATCTTGTTTTCGACATGCGCCCTAGAAAGCAGGGAACTATATGGACAACAGGGTTCACGTGGAAATCGAGATGCGCCCTTACGTCAGAGGAGCAACACTGCCGTGGTAAGGAAAAGCGCCGTATGAGTAATCTGCCGTGTTAAAGAAGAGCGCTGCATGAGCCTTTAGACGTTGCCAAGTTGCCTCCGATAAATACCGAATTTACTGGAAAAATTGCGAATGTAATTTTCCAAAATTTTCAGACAGATTTGTGCGCAATTTAATCTAAAATATCTGAAAATCTTGAAGGAAAAATATGCATGCATATCGTCAGAAATACAGGTTTTATCGAGGGAAATTTGGCAACTCTCGAATGTTCATACGGCGTTCTTCCTTAGCACGGCAGTAATCAGGCGTTGCGAAATTTTCTTCGACAATCTCGAATTTTCAGAAAAACCTGTGGATATTTCTCCTGCAATTTTTCACAGGATTTCGTTCGTATGTAGTTTGATCTAAAAAGTCTAACAATTTCAAGGAAAATTATTCGAAAATTATTCAAAACTTATTCAAAAATAAAGATTTTCAAAGAAGAAATTTGGCAACTCTCGAATGTTCTTTTGACGTTTTTGCGCGCACGGCAGAATAGCCGCATTTAAATGTGGCTATTACCTCGATATTTCATCATCTTTCAATCACACTGTTAAAAAAAACGGAGTGAGACTCAGCACAAGCGCGAGTAAGAACGGGCCCTCACTTCGCCGGACCGAGGAGTCACTCCGACGGAGAATCGGCTGGACGGATTTTGGGTGCCGTACGCATAGAAATCACTCCGACGCCGGACGGATTCGCGGGAGCCGCAAATTTAGGGGTTCGCAGCTAGGGGATGGTGGAAAGGGGTTAATTGTGGAAATAATTTTTGAAACCATGAAAAATAAAAATAATAAAATCTTCGGTATGTGATTTAACCGATTTTGAAGATTAGAAATTTCCTACCTATCTGGGGAATTGAACCCGGGACCTACTTAACACTAACCGACGACCCTACCGATTGAGCTATAGCGAACGATGCTTGACATTGACGCAAAAACGGTATTTAACGTCGATTTGAACGGGCCGCTAAGATATTTTCAATCTACCTGGATTTGTCCGTGTATTTAGTTTACTTTACTATATTTTTTAACTATATTTTATCGTTTTACTTTGTTTTATTTCCTTGTTGTCTCTATTTTTTCTTCACTCTATTTTATTTTTTCAAGCACTTCATTTTTTTTTCTTTAATTATTTACTTCTCATTCCTTTCCTTTGTTTTATATTTACTGTGATTTCTTTTAATACTTCATCATAATTTTTGGACTTCACTTTACTCTTAAAATTCCTTCTATTCTTTAACATCATTTAGTTGTTTCCCTTATTTTATTTTTTTCTTCATCTCCTTGCTCCATCTAATTATTTACTTCAATTTAGTCTTTGACTTCATTTTATCATATATTTGATTTACTTTATTTTATTTCTTTTCTATTGTCTCGGTTATACCATAATTTTGACTATTCTATTATTTTTTCTATTTTTTTCTCTTTAAATTTTTCATTTTCATTCTGAGAGTGGTAGGCTTAAAGAGGAGAAGAGACAGTATATAGCGCTAGTGCGAGGGAGAGAAGGTGCGCGTGACTCCGGGCCGTACTGCAGCTCCGGTGCGGAGTGCTTTGACTACACATGCAGCCCGTCTCAGCACCTACGCGCTGAACCGCACTCCCGTGCTCATTCTCACTCCGGATTTTCCGTCGGACGGAATCAACGATTTTTAACAGTGCAGAGATGGAAAATTGCATAGAATTTATTTGTTTGAAGTTTCATTAATTTTTTTCAAACCTTTTGGATGCATTCAGGACTTTGATTTGGATCTGACATGGAACTAATCTTGCCACAATATTGATTAAGAGAATTTCCAATATTTTATGAGTATTTTATGAAACCGCAATCAGGAACTACAATTTATGGCAACTTAAAAACAACATAATGTGCCAGTAGTTTTCCTTTTCAGATATGTATTTTTACCTTTACTTATGACCCAAAAATTTCGGTTCCTTAGTGTAAAATGCAGTCCAACTGTGCAATAAATATTGCAGGCCTTACAAATTAATTTTTCAATTTTGATTCCCCTTGAAAAAAGAGAATCCGCATTTAAGTGAATAAACACATTGTTTTAATCTGATGCAGATGAAGTCATCATGCTTTCCAACCGGGTGAACAAACTTTGCCTGAGAATGATGAATAACCTAATCAAAACTCAGCAAAATACACGGTCGACTAGTTGATTAGGAAGGAAAAGTGACTGTAGAGGTGAAACGAACGGATTTAGATGAAAGAAATTATAGGGGCAATGAGTCACGCTACTCATTTGACGTCAGTGTGTCAAAATTATATTTGATAGTTTTCCTCTGATGTTATTAACTCGAGATCATTTTTTCCCCTTTAAGGCTCAATTAATGGGCATCCCGCAAACCAGATCTACCTATTCCCAAGTAGCAATGATCGCGATAAATAGCGATTTTATCGGTTGATTATCGCGATTATATCGGTGGCAATTTATCGCAATATTATCAAATAAAAAATTGCGATTTATGACGATTAAATCGCTATGCATCGCAATTTTTTGTTCAATAAAATCGCGATCAATTTTCGTCGATGAGATCGAGACTAAATCGCCATATATCGCCATTTTTGTTGCGATAAATTGCTGGGCGATAAAATTGCGATATTATTGCAACAAAATCGAAGATAATCGCTCAGATGTTGATGATCTTAGCGATTTTATCGCCGACAAAATTGCAACAAATCGCGATTTTTCCGTTGAAAAATGCTACTTGGGATTAGGTGGTCACACATTTGAAACACATTGACACACACCCTGATTGACACATTTAGGTGGTATAAATTTGAAAATCATTGTTTCCAGTTCCTACTGGTATTTTCGTAGTCTTCAATCTTTTTATAGCTTTTGACTTTAGTTAGAAAGTAGATATGGACACAAAGTGACATTGGAAGTCACTTTTGAGGGGTTATGAGGGAAGAGAGGGAGTCCTAAAGGTATGAGCGTCTCCATTGCAAACAAATTTCTCCGCAATTTCCCCTCATTTTTCGTATTTATCTGTTATGTTATAAAACTTTAAACCCCACCAATAAGACGTTTCTATTTGTACGTCACTGCCCTTTTTATGAATTTTTTTCATAGCCATGATTTCAACTAAATATTAGAGGCTTCATATTTTTCAGTGGAAAACTATTAAGGATTATTTATCAAAATTTTACGCCAAATTTTCTTTGTAGCATGAAAATTATTAACCCAAAATTTCAAATAACAACAAGAATTAGTTTTACCTATATTTTTGGAGTGAAGAGGAGAACTTATTTCTTTACATTTCATAGTCAGGTAGGTAGGCAGGCAGGCAAATAGTCAAATCAGGCACTTTTTCAAGTACCTGGGCAGCTAGTTAAATTTTCAAAATTCATGAAATTATGAATTTTTTGACAAAGACCTTTCAAATTTTCAGTATTCAGAGAAAAGAAATTCATCAAGGCACAAACTGTCATTGTATTTTCCGTTCGAACATGATCCCCATATTGCTTCAACTGTCTACATTGTGATGACTCCTCATTATATAATATGCTGCATACTTTGAGATAATGTGCATTTTAAGGACAAAAAAAAACAACTTATGTATCATTGTCAGAAGCAAATTTTGAAAAGGATCTTTCCTCACATGATCAGAGAATTAGTTTGTCCATAGTTAATAGTTATAGTAAAATAATCAGATAGTAGTCTGAGGAAATATATTTTACTTTTTATCCAGATACTGAAAAAATGCCTGTTTTGACTATTTGCTTGCGACATATGAGAATGAAAAATCTCTGAAAGTAAGGTCAATTTTGTATTATTACACGATATAACCTCATTCATGAGATTATTGATATAGTGCATGGATTTAGACAGTTTTCTATTCTCAAAATTGTGCTTATTCCTTTTTAAAATAACCTTAATTCAAATGAAAACAACACGCTCTTACCTGCGCAACCGCGTTTTCAAACTTTTCGATTTTCTGCAGAATACACTCGGAGGCCCGCATTTTCCCCGAGGTGCTGATTGTAAACACACTCCCATGCACTGGTCACTGATTTGAATGAGCTGACTGATGGGTGGATGTTGGTTACGCTTTATCACAGAAAACTGTTGAATGAGATCCAATTCCAAGGTCCGCTGCTTCCCCCGATGAGATAAAAATGTAAACAAAGGTAAAATAAGCCGCCGTTGTCATGCTGTGCCTGGTATTCTCCATACTGATCAATCCTGTAAACCTATAAGCCAAAATTATTGTGAAAAATACCCACTGTGATTCTTTCACTTTCTGGAAGCGCTTAGTCGATAAGGAGCGGAATTCGATTTCAACCTGCCTCTAGAATTCTAGTTTAAATACTAGTGGCAATGCGTTCAAATAGAGAACCAGCTCAACAACAAACAACGGGCCGTCCCTAAATTGGAAATATTTCTATCAAACAGATTTATTTGCAGGTGAGAAATGTGGGGTGTGCTTGTCAGTTCTCTGGCCGCGGTAAGAGTGAATAAGAATAATAAAGCGCCAGTGACGTCAACGGAGATGGATGCCGTCGTTGCGGCTATTCGTAGTCGTCATTAACTCATGAGCCCTGTCCACAAAGCTCTCGTCAGAGCATCTTCGATCTTCGTGATACAACTATTTCAACTTCTAAGTAGGTAAAATTGCATATCCACGAAATGAAGGAGAACGTGCACTCTTCTCGCCGGACTCAGAGACTTTAACGCAGGGTAAAAAAGTTGTATAGGGCGGAGCACGTGATACAACTACTTCAACTTTCAAGTGGGTAAAATTGCAAAGCTACAAAATGAAGGAGAAAATGAACTCTTCTCGGCTAACTTGGAGACTTTAACGCAGGGTAGAAAAGTTGGACGTATGGCGAAATACGTGACACAAATATTTTGACTTCCGAGAAGGTAAAATTTCATGACCGTAAAATGGAGGAGAACATGGTGTTCTACATCAACCCAACCATCCGGTTCGTCAAACCCTAATTTTAGTTTGCATAACCGAGCCGGCTGGCTACAACCAATTAAACTCTTAATTTGAATTAAGGCACGAAACGCTGAGCCACCGAATTACTCTGGTAGAGCGCCTGAGGTTCAAATATTTTTGTGTGAAGAAGGTTATCGTCACGATTTTGAAATTTACAAAAGTAAAATTGACATGAACTATAGGTACTGGCTGAGGGCTCGAGGTACATTGTCCGAAGACCCAATGGCGTGGTCCTAGACAACAAGGGGGGCCCCGATAGTGGATCCCCTGGTTTTCAAAATAAAATAGCGATGCCTTCTGTGAGGTTTGAACTCACGACCCCTGGTTTACGAGACCAGTGCTCTACCGCTGAGCTAAGAAGGCCCGGATGATAGTTGAATTTAAGAGGATTAAAATAATTTTTTTGGGACTGAATGTCCTGGTTTTCGTGATTTTGGAAGTGCCACGCAACGACTGACTGGTTAGTGGTTACCGGTTTCACTACTTGCCGTCTCGGTTCACTGATAACCATGTATTCTGCCGTGCGTGCGTGCTAAGGAAGAGCGCCGTATGAGCATTTAAGAATTGCCAAATTTCCTTCAATGACATGTTCATGTTGTAGGAAATTCATGAAAATTTTGCTTCGAAATTTTCAGGTGCCTTAGGTGGCATTCCGAAAAAAATGATCTGAAAAATTGGAAGAGATATATTAAAACAAGTTTACCAGGAAATTCGTGTTTTAACAATGGAAATTCGCCAACGCCTGAAGGTTCATATGGCGTTTTTCCTTAATACGGCAGTTTTAGGCGTCATTGCCAAGTTAATATAAAAATTTAAAAATTTAAAAGAAAAGCGTCTTATGAACATTCGAGAGCTGCCTAATTTCCTCTGATAAAATGTTTATTTTTGAGAGAAGTTATGAGCATTTTTCCTTGAAATTTTTAGGAATGGAAGGTGAAATTACGAACAAAATTATATGCGGAATTGGAAGAAAAATATAGACAAACTTTCCCAAGAATTCGCGATTTACCAAAGGAAATTTGGCAACGCCTGAATGTTCATGCGGCGTTCTTCCTAAACATGGCAGTGTGGTGATGAGGCGTCGTAGAGCGCCAGAGAGCGATGTGAAAGCGACTCTCATGTATGTATGTATGTATGAATGTAGAAATAGAAACCCTCTTACATGCGATGAACCCAATATTACCACCAAAATTCTAAAACTCTTCACCTCTCTTAATTTAAAAATCTAAATTTTCGTTTATACTCCCATTGTCAAAATTATCTGTGAAGACGTTAATAGCCTGAGACGCTGAGTGCCTTAAAATTATACTAACTAACTAACTGTATGTATGTACATCACAATTGTTCAAAAGGAACAGGGGTGATGCCTAATGCTAGTGGTGCAAGAATTTTGGATTACCCTGTGGGTGGGGATTTCAAATGTTAGAGTGGTAAAATTTGTCTGATGTATTTAGCTCTATGCATGGATAGTTTAATAATACAGAGACAGCATCTCTCATAAAGCCAGGGTGCTTCTCAGTCACAGCCTAAACTTTAAAAGATTTCTTGTGCCCACATATGTGCTCAAATGTGTAAACGCAATTTGTAAAGACTCTCAGTGTAATGTGGGTAAGGAAAAACTTTCAATTTTCTTTTTTAATTTTTTTGGCAATACGAACACGCAATATTCGCAGCTCAAAGGTTTTTACGCAGTGAACAATATGTATTCGGCAGCAGTGAATCTCCCACTTTTTTTCCTCTATTAAAATCCATTAAAAATATCGATTTTAGACGAGGAAGCCCTTCACCTAGATACGATTGTTTCAGTGGCGATTCTTTCGGGTTGGCAACCCCCCTTTTCATTCATTTAAACATATGTAAAACAATCGATGCTTGGTGAGTATAGAGGATGAACAGTGTTGCCAACTTTCTCGAATTCCGACCGATTGTTTTACACACATGTAAACAGAGAAAAAGCAGTGTTGCTAACTTGTGAAAACCGCCTCTGATAGGTGGTTGAATCATCAATACACCCGCTTTTGAAGGTCATTTTAAAGAAGATTTTTTCTTTGACGTAGCACGTCAAAGGAGGGGTGGCGATTTGGGCCATTTCCGGCCCCACCTAATCCGGGACTTTTTTTGCTGTGAGTCGTTACGTATAAGTGTCAAGAGAAAGCATGCCAAGTTTCAGGCCGATCGGCCCAATATTCGGGGGGCAGGGGCCCCCCGAATTTTTAAGCGCAAAATCGGTTTTAATTTTGTAGCGCCGTCAATTTCGCTCGTATACAGATGAAAATTGGGTGTCAGGGGTAAAATTTTGCGTTCTTTCCATTTCCGCCGTCAAAACTGACACTGGGGCAAAATTAAGGGGGGTTTTGGGGGGTTTTTCGCGTTTTTTCGCGTTTTTTACCAATTTTCTGCGGTTTTCATGCTTTAAGCCAGAGATTTTGAGCCAAACGACCACAGATTTGATTTCTACGCAAAAAATTACAGAGGAACATAATGACCAACTAACACTCAACAGCGGATTTCTCTAGGAAAAACTGACCCATAAGTATGTGTTCACTCAGAAATTTTGAAAATAGCCATGTTTCGGGTACAGCCCAAGCTTGTAGCACTACCATATTCACATATGATACGCTCTAGGTCGACCCTGTTGATATTATTGGGAACTTGAAATGCTACCCGCTTGGGCGGAGGGTCGAATTCTCCTCAGAAACGAATAAAAAAGGCGATAAAATTACGTTTCACGTGAATTGTTGCGAGCGGAATGTTATTATATCGGCAACTTTCACCTCCAACTTATGTAATTTTTTGCGTGCTTTCCATTTCTGCCATGAAAATTGGCATCAAAGCAATTTTAAACGGGTTTTTGGGGTTTTTTATCATTTTTTAATCATTTTTTACCAGTTTTTTCCGGTCTTTTGCGGTTTTCGTGTTTGAAACCTCATGTGGCATATCAGTTCTGTGGTTTCTTGGTTTTTACCGACATCAAGAAAAAGAGCCCCGAAGATTGTCATCCTCTTATGGAGACTGCCTAGAGGATGCTGCTTACTTATGGTCTGACGAGGATTCAGAATGAGAGATAAGGATTTTACACAACATTTCTTCTGCTATACGATTCATCCGTGACGTATTTTATGGATGTGATAGTAAACGTATTTTGAGAAAAATTAAAATTTGTGGTCGTTTGGCTCATTTGGTGAGGTTTCAAACACGAAAACCGCAAAAGACCGGAAAAAACTGGTAAAAAATGATTAAAAAATGATAAAAAACCCCAAAAACCCGTTTAAAATTGCTTTGATGCCAATTTTCATGGCAGAAATGGAAAGCACGCAAAAAATTACATAAGTTGGAGGTGAAAGTTGCCGATATAATAACATTCCGCTCGCAACAATTCACGTGAAACGTAATTTTATCGCCTTTTTTATTCGTTTCTGAGGAGAATTCGACCCTCCGCCCAAGCGGGTAGCATTTCAAGTTCCCGATAATATCAACAGGGTCGACCTAGAGCGTATCATATGTGAATATGGTAGTGCTACAAGCTTGGGCTGTACCCGAAACATGGCTATTTTCAAAATTTCTGAGTGAACACATACTTATGGGTCAGTTTTTCCTAGAGAAATCCGCTGTTGAGTGTTAGTTGGTCATTATGTTCCTCTGTAATTTTTTGCGTAGAAATCAAATCTGTGGTCGTTTGGCTCAAAATCTCTGGCTTAAAGCATGAAAACCGCAGAAAATTGGTAAAAAACGCGAAAAAACGCGAAAAAACGCGAAAAACCCCCCAAAACCCCCCTTAATTTTGCCCCAGTGTCAGTTTTGACGGTGGAAATGGAAAGAACGCAAAATTTTACCCCTGACACCCAATTTTCATCTGTATACGAGCGAAATTGACGGCGCTACAAAATTAAAACCGATTTTGCGCTTAAAAATTCGGGGGGCCCCTGCCCCCCGAATATTGGGCCGATCGGCCTGAAACTTGGCATGCTTTCTCTTGACACTTATACGTAACGACTCACAGCAAAAAAAGTCCCGGATTAGGTGGGGCCGGAAATGGCCCAAATCGCCACCCCTCCTTTCATTAATATTTTTTATCGGCACACCGTCTAAACGCTCATTTAATTTGTGTGTTTCTGCGTAAAAGTTTCATAGATCTTCGTTGCATGAGAGCAGTGGCGTGGCGTGAACTGCGATGTATCGATTGTTATGCCATTTAAACCCATGGTAAAGAATCGATTATTAAGGTGTTCGCTGCAAACACCCTGTTTATCGATCCTTTTTCATAGGTTTAAATGGCAAAACAATCGATACATCGCAGTTCACGCCACGCCACTGCATGAGAGTGTGACTTAGAGTGAAATTGGAAATTTTCCTGGTTTTTTATGATGATCATGACATGACGCATGTAAAGTGTTTTTCCCCCCGTTTTTGTCGGCTCTATAGATGTCATACATATGCCTAGTCTATGCCATGCAGCTGTGTTAAGGGAAAACGTCGTATTTACATTTTGATGTTGTCAAATTCTCTTTGATGCAAATTTAAGTGCCTGGGGAACTGGTAAATTTTTTGGATACAAATATTCTCAATTTATTCTATCGTTTCAGAAATTTTCAAGCATGAGTGCAAATAATGATGTTTCTTAAAAATTCATATTTTATTTAAGGAAATTCGGCAACATCTGAATGCTCATACGTTCTTCTGCTTTAGCAGATGTCATTCAAAAACGGCAGTTATCCGCTCTAATCACGAGGGTGTGAGTGTGAAATTTGTCACGTAGAAGCAAAAAAGACCTTTTCCTCCAAGGCTAAATTTAACCTTCAGTGGAAAACTGAATCGGAAAATTTTCCTGTAGGTCTTGAGTGACTCATGACCTCTCTGCAGTTTTTAAATTTGAACTAGTCCGTTGCAAACTTTCGACAGTGAAGAAAGAAAAGTCACTCCTTGTGTACTATTTTTTTTTTTTCAAATTCGCCTCAACATTCAAAAGCCTAGGGTGGCATCAAAAAAATATGGACAGAGTTTAACAAAAACGCACCAAGTAGCATTTGGGAAAATAAATCAGCTGGGAATAGTTTCGAAATTTCCTTCAGTCAAAAGTTCAAAGTTAAGAAAAAACGTGACAGAGATCGTTAAACTTTGTCTTCAAAATCGACTCTGACGGATGTATAAATTTCAAACTTCTTTTTATAGATTTAAAATCGATGGGTGCTCTTATTTGATGCTACTTGATTTGTTTCTGTTGAGCCGGGTCCAAATCAAAACTAAGTCAAATCTCCCATGAGACATGCATCTTTTAATCAATAACCCATTAGAAAGGCAAATGTTGAGAAACTTTTTGAAAGCAATTCGTACCTTTAGGGACTAAGTTTAATCACCATAATTTTAAGCTTTCATTTACGATCAATAAATTGTGTTTCAGTTGACCTAATGTTGGAATCAGTGGATGTTGAAACGTGGCCCAAAAAATGAAATTACTTCATGATGGCAATTACTTAATGGAAATTTTTTCAGGAGAACGCCTGCATAGCCATTCAGTGTTCTTAAAAAATGTGCGGATATATGACCAATGTTTTCAATGGGCCTGTTGCATGCAAGAGATACAGCCGCGCGAATAGACTTTTTAGAGGTTAAATGACACGAAAATTACGATGGTCACATTAAGAAAGTCTGAAATACACTCCTTACTGCGCAATTTGCGTTGTTACGAATACGCTCTTTCAAATTTCCCGCGTCTGGGGGCAGTTTTCTAATCACCGGAAACTAGCAAACGGCAGGCTCGGTGATTTCCGGAAGATGCCGAGTCGATGTTGTTGTTGTTGTTTTTTCCTGCAGTTTGTTTACAAACCCAACGTGATCTCTTATAGTGGTCCATATACGCTTTATGCGGTAACCAAATGGATCAACTTTTAAATATCCAACTCAATCCTTCTACATTTCATTTCACGATATCACGAGCTCCGATTTTTAGGTTATGTTGTCAGTTTTAGTTGACCGGAAATAGCCGCGAATTGCCGTTAATTGTTTTCGTTAGAAAACTGCCCCCAGACGCGGGAAATTTGAAAAAGCGCGTTCCTAACAACGCAAATTGCGCAGTAAGGAGTGTATTTCAGACTTTTTTAATGTGACCATCGTAATTTTCGTGTCATTTAACCTCTCGAAAGTCTATTCGCACGGCTGTATCTCTTGCATGCAACAGGCCCATTCTATCAAAGCACTGAATGTATGAGCAGACTTAATTTTTTGGAAGTCAAATCTATGCACGGAATGACCTATTAAGGTAAATTTTTTTTGGAGAGCCACATTCAAATCTTAGTGCTTTCATGCGATCTCACGATAGACAATGTAGTCCTCTCAAAGAGGAGTTATCTACAATAAATTAATTTGATCTGAAAACTCTCTTTTAATTTTTTTCAATGCGTAAGGTTTTGACATCGGCTTCTTAATTTCTTCTATGGTGTGTGGTAACGGGGTTTGAACAAAATAGAACTTAATAAATTAATACCTTAAAGGTCCAGTTGTGTGAATGTAGAAACTTTTCAACGTATATAAGTTCTCGCACTTGAGAGGAATTAGAACAAACAGAGAGCTGATCACTTGTTATTACACTTTAATAATTAAAATCTTAAAGTAAACATGAGTATCACTGAGAGCAAAATTGTTCTAATTACAGCCGGCAGGCACCCACTTATTTTCACATTTCAGTATAAATTTATCTGAGCTTATCTTTATCTCTCACAGAGCTACTGTTTCAATGATCATGACGCCACATTTCTTCCTCTAATTCACAAAAAAAAAATCAAAGCCGCGCTGATGCAACTCACAATAGCATCGATATCAATGACTCAAGGAAATCTAGAAACTTGGGTTTTACGTCTTGTTACATAAGCATCGAAAATATTATGAGTGTTTATTAATTGAGAAACTTCACGATTTTATTTCGTGAATTTGTAATAAATATTGTGATGCGTAGAAGTTCGACGTAATCTATACTCTGCAGAGACATTTTATACACCTTGGTTGCATACGTGAGGGGTTGAAGGCGATCTGTTTTGCATGTAATGAGTCCGCATACATTCCGAAAATCAGCACGGGTAACTTGAGTCGGATCGTGAAGTGACAATACATTTCGGAGTTAAGACGCTCTTTATGATCTGCGCTCAGGACCGGATTCATCTACTTGCCGCCCATGGGCCGCCTGTATTTTGCCGCCCTCTTCTCCTTCGTTTTGAAACATCAATAAAAACCATCTAATGAACGTGCCAGCGAAGTAGGGGTGCATAAGTCGCGTTTACTCGTGTTTAACACATTTTTTGGGAAAGCCCTGGCAACACTACTCGCAAAAGTTCACAGAACCTTGCGCGAAAGCTAAGTTTCGTAAACCTATCTCTGTGTGGACAAGGCCCTCCATTCCTAAGAAATGAACGAAAAAATTATGAAAGAACAAACACAAATGAATCAGTGAGAACGAAAACACACCAACTCGGTTTCTTAAAAATGCTAAATTTTCATTAAAGACAGTCCGTTTTTTAAGGCCATTGAAGTTAGCGCAACTGTTCCAACTTGGACTCAAAAAGGTGTCCTTAAGTTCTTGTCTTTTGCCACCGAAAATCTTTTTCTCAGGCAAACTTTTTCACCTACTGTGCAGTTTTGTGTGCGTCTTGATTATTTTCATTTCTTCGAGTGTGTGTGTTCGCTCTCACTGATTCAAATGTGGATTAATGATTTTAACTTCCGCCGCCGCGCTTCGCAGACCGCACCGTGTTCGGCGCGATGCATGGAGTCCATGGAGTATTCCGACAGTCTAGTAGGCGCTATGCGTTTCACGCTGATCGCACTGTGTTTGCCGCAATGCGTGAAGTATTTATGCAGGCTTGTAGGCGCTATGCGTTTCACGCTGACCCCAATGACCGCACTGTGTTTGATGCAATGCGTGAAGTATTCATGCAGTCTTGTAGGCGCTAATACGTGTTACATGCCGATCGCCGCGCCGAGGGCTTCTTCTTTTCATCTCAAGTCCTTTTCATTATTTCTCTCTAAGTCGCGCCGTTCCAGGCCAAATTGCGTGTTTGGTTTCTCTCTAAACTCGACTAATTAAAGGTGCTGTCTCTTGTATCACTGAAAGACGACAAAATTAAAAATTACTATACTCTTAGGAAATGAGGGATTTTGTCGCCTTTCCTCGTTTGTAATTTTTTTTCTAAATCCGGTTTTTTTTTATACCTACATTTAAAAAATTGCAAAATTTGCCGCCCCCTCTAGATTTGCCTTCGTGGGCCGCGGCCCATGTGGCCATTCCCTTAATCCGGCCCTGTCTGCGCTTAGTGATTTTGGTTGCAGCCCACGAACTTTGAAGGCGCTTTAAGTAACCTGCTCATATGAAGTTATAAGTGGTCGAGTACTGGCTTTGTGGAGGTACTCCCTGTGCTTCCCTGCCAGGGTGAACTGAACATCTTCCAGAGCCGGCTGGGTTCGTTTCAAATACCTCCTCGCCAAACCCTTTGAGGAGCTTTTTTCGCTTCTCAATTCAGCCACGAACTGTAGCCAATGCTTGGTACATACATTATGAGTTACTCTACTACGATATTGAAGAGAACCGCAAGTGAAAAAATATAGTTTTGAGAAAATCGGCTCAGTAGCGCATGAGCGTAAATTTTATTGAAAGGAGCCTTCGCTCTTTATCTTGCCATCGATCACCCAAAAGACACCCAGTAATCGTTTGGATGATTGAAAATCGACGAATTTTTCTCTCAATTTTATGAGAAGGGTCTCTTTCATTCTCATGTTTCCGCGGTTGCGTCATGGACACACGACGAAAAAATTTCAAGGTTGAAAATTGGCAGTTAAGAGCACGATTTTACTTAAAGGAACAGCACTCAGTGGATGTCTGTGAGAATAAGATTCCTTACGACTGTTTTTTTCTGAAACAACGTCAATGTGTACAGTAGTTCTGCCGCACAGTGGCTCGAGTCAATTAGAGGAGTCGGACGTGAAATGTTTGACTAAAACTGTAAATTTTGAAGTTTCTCTCGTCACATTTTAAAGTTCAAGGGGTGCTACTAGAAGCAAATTTCACGAGGAAACCATTGGAACCACTTTGAGAACCTCAGAATTTTGTATGAACGGAGTTATAAGCGTTTAAAGTTACCAAATTTTGTCCGACCTCTCCTATTGACTCGATCCACTGTGTGCCGGGGCCCCCGAGCCACCCGGGCCAGAATTTTTGGGGTGCCAACCCGTAACCTCAAGGATCCCAGTCGCACACAGCAACTTCATGCACGTCCCGGAACCGGTTGGATCCGTCTCAAGGACTCTTTTGCCAAACCCTGTTAATCCGCTTCTTCATCTCGGCCATCTTCGCTCTTCGCCGCTCGTTCTGGATGCGGAAGGACTTGACGGTGAACGTGATGTCCTTCACGCAGAACGCGAGCGTGGGCGGCCTGTTGGCAAGGTCGCTTTTGTCGGTGACCAGAGTGCACTTGCAGACCTTGTCCGAGCAGACGCCGCTGACGGCCCCGAGGCAGGCGGGTTCGATGATGTCTTTGTCCTTGTAGTAGACGAGCGTGCGGGAGAACTCGGCCACGAACTCGCAGGCGGTCGCGCACTGCTCGTTGAGGGTCTCCTCCTTGGAGAGGGAGTTGCGGCGGGGGAGGTTAGGGTTTCCCATGAATTCGCACGTGTCGTGGATCCGCCCGATGAGAATCAGCATTCCGACCAGGAGACGCCGGTATTTCTGCGGAAGAAAAACATAATGAACGTAATGAACGTAATAAACGTGATGAACGTAATAAACGTGATGAACGTAATGAACGTAATGAACGTAATGAACAAAATGAACGTATTGAACAAAATGAACGTGATGAACGAAATGAAGGTAATGAACGAAATGCACATGATGAACGTAATGAGCGTAATGAACGAAATGCAGATAATGAACGTAGTGAACGTAATGAACGTAATGAACGTAATGAACGTAATGAACGTAATGAACGTAATGAACGTAATGAACGTAATGAACAAAATGAACAAAATGAACATAATGAACGTGATGAACGTAATGAACGTAATGAACATAATGAACAAAATGAACATAATGAACGTAATGAACGTAATGGACGTAATGAACATAATGAACAAAATGAACATAATGAAAATAATGATTATAATAAACATAATGAACATACATAATAAACCTTTGAACATCAGTGGCGAGGCGTGAATGATCGATTATCAATACCTCCCCATTTGAAGCTGTGGTAAAGAATCGATTATTAAGGTGTTAATCGATTATTAAGGAGACGCCGGTATTTCTGCAGAAGAAAGACATAATGAACAAAAGGAACATAATGAACGTAATGAACGTAATGAACGTAATGAAAGTAATGGACGTAAGGAACGTAACGAACGTAATGAATTCAATGTACGTAATGAACGTAATGAACAAAATGAACATAATGAACATAATGAACATAATGATTATAATAAACATAATGAACATACATATTAAACATTTGAACATCGGTGGCGAGGCGTGAATGATCGATTATCGATACCTCCCCATTTGAAGCTGTGGTAAAGAATCGATTATTAAGGTGTCCGTTGCGAACACCCTGTATATCAATCCTATTCCATAGGTTTAAATAGTAGAGCAATCGATATATCGCAAAGCACGCCATGCTGCTGATGAACATAATGAACATGATGAGTATAATGACCATAATGAACATAATTTTGTTGTTGTTGTTGTTTGTTCGGCACTCTACTCTAGGTATACAGCCTGAATTATGATGGCAGATTGTCATTGGCTGGCGTGATGTGGGCGCGGCCCAATGGCGGCTACCCTGGTATTCCGAATTAATGTAATGAACTTTTGTACACAATGAACTTTAAATCGTGGAAAATCACGACGGTTTGGATGGCCACCGCCCGATTCTCTCCCGGATTCCCTCCCGGCTGTCAGAAAAATGAACACTTGGCAACGCCGCGGCAATCATGGCCAGGAATGTAAAAGGACCGCGTTTAGCAGAAAGGAACCAAGCCACATCAGCTGTTGCCAAATTTAACTGAAATTTAATTTTTTACAAGAGTTCGTTTGTGCGGATCCCTTTGAGAAATTTAAGGAATTGACTCCGATCCATGCAAAAAATTCACTGAAATTCTCACAAAAATCTGCACAACTGTTTTCACGTAAAAAATTAAATTGCCCAACTAAGTTTGGCAATAGCTGATGTGAATCGATTCCTTTCTACTAGACGCGGTCCAAATATAAATTGGCATTGGTCCAAAACATTGCAACCAAGAAGTGCCCTTTCTGCACCAAAAGCAGCCAAAATCATGAAAATTGGCTTGGTAACGAACTGTTCTTGAACTGTTACAATATAATAATGCAAGAGGTCACAGAGCTCATAGTAATGCTGTTTCTCTAAAAATTACTTGAGAAAGAAGAAAGAAACTGTGATGTAAAAGGCCAAAAGTGCTCACCGTCTGTGAAATAATGAATATTCTAAGCGCTTGTCTCACGGTGAGCTTATTAGGTTCGTCAATTTTAAGTAACTTCTTCTGAGGGGGCTGGTAATTGGATGCTGATTCCTTGCGAGCTTCTGCCACTGCTGCCAGAAAGAACTGATCTACCTGTGAAATCAAAAGAGTCCATTTTAATTAATGTTCAATTTCTTCAAATGTGACCGTCTACTGAAAAGAGATTTCAGTCTGCTGTGCTACCGTTTTCAACACTATTGAAATGCAACGATGTCTATTTCTTTGCATGACCAGCGATGTTTATCGGCAGCGCATAGCACTTATGTGAATCATAGATAAAGAACCTGAGCGCCCTCAATGTCTACGTACATGCAACACGCTCAGCCATTGAGCACGAATAGTTGCATTCAGAAATTTAAAGTAACCAATATTTAGTTGCGCTTGCAAATCAAAAGCGAATATAAATTTGACACATCAATGTTGAAAAGAACTATGTGCAAATGACGTAAATGAAAAGGAACCACGAAGCATGGACATTTTTGCAAATAGTTCATTTTGAATTAAGTTATGTTTATATATATAGTTCTCACTATCGGAAATACCTACCTCCGATAATCACCCTCGCATCAGATAGAACATTTGGCGCCCCCACCCCCTTCCCGGTTCACCCATGGGTCAGAAAGGAAGAGATTAGAGAGAGGGGGGGAGAGGGAGAGGGAGGGGGGGAGGGAGAGGGGGAGAGAGAGAGAGAGAGAGGAAAGAGAAGAAGCTGAATGAAAAGTACGTGATAAATTAGGATGCCAGAGGGGCGACGAGAGAAGAAAAATATGAAAACGAAAAAGGAGACTATAAGGAAGAAGAAGGAGAGGGAGAAGAAATAAACGAAGAGAAAATGAATATGAAGAAGAAGAGGGAGAAGAAATGTGAAATAAGAAGAAAGAGAGGAGAAAGATGAAGTTTATGAGGAGGAAGATAAAGGAAAATAAGAGGAAGAAGAAGAAGAAGAAGAAGAAGAAGGAGGATGAGGATTAAAAGAAAGATAGAGAAGAGCATAAGAAAGAAAACGAGAGAGATGAAAACGTGAAATAAGAGGGAGGAACACAAAGGAATTTCTGAAAAATTAAATGCAAAAAAACACGCAAGAAATTGTAGCACCCTATTATTCTCCCAGAATTCTCCTAGAATTTTAAATGAATTAAAACGCAAGATGTCCAAAATCTAAGTTCAGATTCGGATTCCTCGTGTAAAATCGATGGGATTTCATGTATCACACGTTAGCACAGGATGAAGGAAAGAGGTTCAACGTAGGCATACTGACTCTAGCACATCAGGCCAGTATAGACAGCGTGGCGCGGCGGCCGCGGAGGAGTGGGGGGGGGGGGGGGGGTGGTGCCGCGGAGTGGGGAGTGGGTCAGCGGAGAAGAAACAAGGAAATATCTTCCAGGAATCAGACCCTTTTATCTGCGCCGCCTGCCGAGCGAAATCCGCCCGGGCGCCATGGCGCTAAGCATTCGGTTTCGTCCCGCGGAAATTCTGAGAATCTTCACTTATCAGCTGATGAGCTGACCTACTCAGCACACCAATGTTGCCAAGTTCGACAAATATGTCAGAATCACTATCCCTTCTTCAGCCTCTTTTCATCACGCTATGCTACCGTATGATATATGAAACTGCACAGATTTTCGACGCGGGCCGCGAATCTGAATTTAGAATTTGGATATCACGCGTTTTAAGTTTAATTTCCAAATTTTATTTCAATTCCAACATGAAAAGTATGAAATTCAAATATGACGGATGTGATTTCTTGTGATTATCAAGATTTTTAGGGGGAAATTTTTGGGGCCACGTTGGAGCAGGGCCTTCATTATTTAGGTGCATTTGGCGCGTTGGCGCCTGCGAGTTTCGAACACTCGTACTCACCGTATCAATATGCCTTGGTTCGAGGTACAGCTTGTGCTTGTACTTTTTCAGCCGGTGCTCGGGGCTGAGGGCGTTGACGACGGTGGTGAAAACGGATTCGTGGAGGGTTTTCAGGTCCTCCTTCGTGATGAACGGGTTCTCGACGGTCGGCGGCTCCAGCACCATCTTGCGGCGTCTCGCTTCCTGCATGTACGGCGAGTCCTTCTGCAGGAACTGACCGGCCAGCACCCGTAGCTCCCGCTTGTAGTCTATCGTGCTTCTCAGGGTCTTGAAGAAACATCTGAAATTGTTGATGGAATTGTAATTGGACCGCGTTTAGCAAAATAGAACCACACTGGAAAAAAAGTCGCCTGGATCTAGAGTCCACACTCTTAAAAACATTGACAAGAAAAAATACTCTTGATTCAATCAGATTTTTCGCTTGAATCAAAAGGACATCCGCCTAAATCAAGAAACTTGGCTCTTCAGTTCAAGAAAAAGTTGGATTGAACCAAGAGTATTTTTTCTTGTCAATGTTATCAAGAGTCTGGACTCTAAATCCAAGCGACTTTTTTCCCCAGTGCAAGCTACATCAGCTATTGCCAAATTTAACTGGGCAATTTAATTTTTTACGAGGGAACATTTGTTCAGATTCTTTTGAAAATTTCGAGGAATTTCCTTCGTATTATGCAGAAAATTCACTAAAATTCGATCGATTCGAGTCTATCGTAATTCTCAGGGTCTTGAAGAAACATCTGAAATTGTTAATGGAATTGAAATTGGACCGCGTACGTCAAAAAGGAACCAAGCCACATCGGTTATTGCCAAATTTAACGGGGCAATTTAATTTTTTACGAGGGAACATTTGTTCAGATTCTTTTGAAAATTTCGAGAAATTTCCTTCGTATTATGCAGAAAATTCAATAAAATTCGATCGATTCGAGTCTATCGTGATTCTCCGGGTCTTGAAGAAACACCTGAAATTCATGGACTTGTACTTGGACCGCGTTTAGCAAAAAGGAACCAGGCCACATATTCAGGAGGCTAAAGAATTCACTTACCAATTTTGACAAACAAATTCATCGTAATAAAGGCGTGGTTTCTTTAATAGAGAAATATCAGTTTCGATACTGATATAGAAACTGCACTCGAATGTGATATATTCCCTCTAAAAAAACTACGCCTATATTACGTTGAATTTGTTTGCAAAAACTGGTAAGTGAATTCTTTAGTCTCCTGACAACAGAATTGCGATATCAAAATTCGAGAAAAATGACGAGTGGATGCAATATATCGTTTGTCGTTTTGACATCAAATATGGCGTCCATCGAATCACCTTAAATCACTCTGGCTTCTCTTTATTTCTAATTTTCTTCTAATTTTACTTGTAAAATTGCATAAAATTTTGAAAATCCTCTTACTCGGTCATTTTCTCCACATGTCCCGGGCGGGTCCAGTTCGGAACGATGACAAAATCCTTCTCCTCTAGGTACGCTAAAACAGAGCTGACGCAGCCCTTGGGGACGTAGGGCTGGACAATAAGGGCCGTCTGAAGGTTCCCGCTGCCCGTCTTCGCGAAGCCCCGTTCGTCGGGTTCGCAGTGCGCTGTGTCGGGTAGATAGTGAAACACGAAGAACTTCGCCGGGTCGATGCAGAAACCATACACATCGTGGTCTTTCGCTTTCTGGGAATTAAAATGAATGAAGGAGATGAGCAATTTGATACGCAACCCGAAGAAAAGCAGACGAAAGGATCATTAGCGAATCCAGCAATCTGGCAACATTGTTTATTCTCAATTTAAACCTATAGAAATTTATCGATTCTTGAAGACGCCAGGTGCTCCGACAAGAATCGATTATTTAACATAGGTTTAAATGGAGGATATTCCGACTTTGGATAACATAGGAAGGAAAAGAAGAGGAGAAAAAGAAGAAGAAGAAGACAAAGAGGAAGAAGAAGAAGAAAAAGAAGAAGAAGAAGACGAAGAAGAAGAAGAAGTAGAAGAAGAAGAAGAAGAAGAAGAAGAAGAAAATAAAATGCAGAATGAGGAGAAGAGGAAGAAAAAGAAGAAGAAGGAGAAAGAGAAGGAAGAGAAGAAGAGGAAGAAATAGAAGAAGAAGAAAAGAAGAGGAAGAAGAAGAAGAAGAAGGAAAGAAGAAGACCAACAAAATCGGTAAATTTCTTTGCAATATTGTTTCTTTTCATATTACCTCTCTTTTGACGACGAAAACCATGCTGACATCTTGATGGCACAGGATAGGTCTGATGCTCTTATCAAAGACTTTTCCGACTTTTTTGCACATCCATAGAGGTTTGGTCACGTCAATGGTCGTTCCCAGACACTCGAAAGCTTTCTTCTCCTTTTTTTGAAGGCCAACTATCTTTTTAAAGAAGTTCTTCTTCACCGGACCGCTAACGCGAGCAGCTTCCTGCAAAGTACACACAAGAGCACCTTAATGATTGTAAAATTTATTGACTTTGTTTTTTTCTTGTAATCTGTTCCACGAACGAACAACCTTGATATCTCGGTCATTTTCCATTAAGTGGCAGCGTCGTAACCAGTCTTTTACTAGAACTTTCAGTGATGTATCCATGCTATCTATGATTTTGAATTCTTGCATTCTCAAGGTTTTGGTCAAAAATAGTTGTTTATTCTTTGTGGTACAGGTCATACAGGGTTATCCAGAAGTCTGGGACCCCCCTTATAACTTTTGAACAAAAAATGCTAGAGATTTGAAATTTGGGGAATGTTCCTAGGTCAAAGGGAACTACTTTTTGGCGTACCCAAAATTTTGGGGGGCGCCCCCCCTGAGGGGGGGCGGACCCTAACTTTTTTTTTTCAAATAGGAACCCCTATCTTGTGATACATCATTCGAAAGGGCTTAAAAAAAGAAAACTTTTGGCGCAAACCGATTGTCGATACCTCAATTTTTAACACAATGGCGGCCAAAAAATGGCGGCTCATTCAAAAGCCTGGGCCTCCGCTCATAACTCATGAACAAAAAATGCTAGGGATTCGAAATTTGGGGAATATTCCTAGGTGAAAGGGAACTACTTTTTGGCGTACCCAAAATTTCGGGGGCGCCCCCCCTGACGGGGGGCGGACCCTAACCCTTTTTTTTCAAATAGGAACCCCTATCTTGTGATACATCATTCGAAAGGGCTTGAAAAAAGAAAACTTTTGGTGCAAACCGATTGTCGATACCTCAATTTTTAACAAAATGACGGCCAAAAAATGGCGGAAATGCGTTTTTTGGTTATTTACCGTCGGATTCGCTTGAAACTTGGTTTCCACAGGTTTTCGAGCACGAAAAAAACAACCAAACCACGGGGTGAGTCCTGGGTGGTTGAAATGACAA